CAATCTATTGTATGCTTAAGGTATGCCCTGTTATGTTATTACTGTAATTCTCGAGGTTTTAAGTGTGTTTTCAAATACTAACTAACATTTAACAGGTTTCTTGATATCGATGTTTACCTCCTTCCATAGATATCCCACTTTTAGCCATACTCGGATGGTTGAATTCGTTTACATATTCGGGTTTCCGGTAGCCGTAGTTTTCCTTAGCAATGGATCATGCCCTCTCGACAAAGTAGTTCATTACAACGAGAATCGTGTTACATTCACTTTCCATGATAGGCTTCTGTCTTTCTCTAAGTATACCTAGGAAGAAACGGGTGTTTGTGTATATATGCTTCTTTGCTTTTCTGTTTGTTATGCAGCACGTGTTCGGAATGATTATTGGTGCAGTCCTTGGAATGTCGGTAGAGGAGACATCCTCTTTGCATATATTGAACGCCCGAGCCACTTTCAGCCTTAAGAATGCATTTAATAAAGAAGGACCAAGTGGAAAATGCGCGTAGCCCTCGTATTTAAAGTGGAGGCGGCTGTCACCACGTGTTGTACTTTCTTTCAACCCTTAGCAGAATAGCATTTCTGCTGTTTGCTGTTACAAAACTCTCAACGCCAAGAAGTTTGGCGCTATGATGTCGCCAGATGCTGTCCAGCTGCAAGAAGACGCATTAGGTTTTGTAATAAAAGAAGAAACGAGCCTGGCCTCCATGTCTATAAATTTCACGCAACTTGAGAAAAACCGTATGCAGATAGGCGGATAATAATGGGATTGTTAATTACGTCCAACCTGACCTAATTTATCAGTTACCATTACTACAAATTTAACTCTATTGATTAAAGTATTTATTTCATGCAAGTATTTGAACTTTGAACATCAATTAGAAGAATAAATTTAAGTTTTAAAAGAGTTGGAAGTCTCCCCATGGTCTCGGCAACTCAAATATCCCAGAAATTCGCAGTTTCGTAGTATATTCCTTTAGTCTTGTAGGTTTGGCGTTGTGTTATTGTTTATAATATCCCGGGGGGTGTCATCCGAGCGAGGCACTACTGCTAAGTGTGCTCGCAACATGCATAATAAATTGAAGAAGTTTTGCTCTCGCATAGTGGATGACTTCTAGTTTTGGTCCGAGCTTTCTCACGCCTCGAACGTTTCCACCCGGAAAGCTCTTCTATAATTATGACATATGGTCTGAATAAACTAAACGCGTTCACTATTTTGAAACTACATAGGCGTATGTCATTAATTTGGATATATGTGTTAGGTGGCAATCTTTCTACTTCCTAAATTTTGTGCACGCAGGATGGAAAATATTGGTATCCCCATCATACCTACATTTTGGGATTTATAGAGGGGCTTGCTCAGTTGTAAGGTGGTTTTGCGGGTTGCGTGCGGTTGCACCTTTGCCGCTACTGTCGACGACTGGTGAGTAACTCCCTGGGCCGCGGATCAATATAAGCGCTTCTCTCTCGCTCTCCAATTCACCCTTATCGCCTTCACCTCAAACATGAAGTTTTGGTTAGAAGTTATGAATCCCAAGTTTCACCTTGGGTGGTAAACGTGAACGTCGTCAAAGTAAGTGTCGTGCCGAGTGTGGACCTTGATTCTTGAAGGTGGAATGCGATTAGCGTCCACCATTTGCGCGCACAAAAGCCATTGCCTAGGTGGGGTCATCAACACCTCCAAGAGAATTATGTAAAGTTTTTTAGTAACTAAAATTGATTCAGCATGTGTTTGATGATGAATGGGGCAATCGTGGCTCGCCCACGCAATTTGTTTATTAGCATGGCTGATTAGCATCTAGGCCTATACGCAATAATTTTCGTCCTGAATTTTTTTTCGAAATTTGTCGAACAAGTGAACTTGTAATTTAAATATTCTTGTGGGTTTGTTAAAGGTTTAGGGATGATAAGTTATTTAGTGGCGCGTTAACCAGCGGCCATTTGGGTCTGCTCCATTGATATTCTTTATCACAGAACTGGGGTTGCTCGTCGATGCTGTAAGAAGCCGCAAATGTGTGGGGGGGACTAGTTAATGTTCGAAAGTAAAGAAGATTAGGTGGAAGTTATTCGATTCGAAAATATCTGGCAGATAAACCAAATGGTGCGTAGGCAACAAATTATTTCGCATAATCGCAATCAATTTGTAATTTTCTGCCACATACCTCTTCGCTCCCCACACATATTGGTACTGATGCATTATTAGATACCGATCCTGGTTCCTTGTAAATATGAATTCAAAATGACGCATTCGAGGTATGGTTGAATGTCATAAAGGAATTCAAATTAATCTTTCTAAAGTTAGCCACTCACGCAGCTTACGGGTGAAATTGTGGTAAGTGTAGAGAAAAATTGTTTCAGATGCTGCTAAAGAAAAGTTTATTTTCCTCTAAATTTTGTGTAGCGTTGAACATTTTTGACTTGGTATGGCTTAAAACGAATTTAATAGTTTGTTCAGTTTTTGTGTATTTTTTTCGTTCAAAAATTTGGCAAGTTTATGTACTGCCGTTGTTTGGAAGTATAAATTAAGATTTCCATCAACATACGCTCGGGCTGCAAAGTGAAACAAAACTGGCGTATCGCTATATCCCACCAAAAAAGTAATATAACTTTGAAAGTTTGCAAGTCGGACTTGTTACCTTATACTTTTGCCATTAACTTTTGCCAACTTTATCGAAATAACTTTATTGGTCGTTATTTCGCCGCGATCAAGATATCAGGATGTCTCACGCAATAATTATAAAAGTAAATTTACACGATATTATAAAATGTTTTTGCTGCTTCACAAATTGAAAAATTGAAATAACAAGGATTCATTTGTAAACACAAGGAAAGAATGAGTGGGTGCTTGATATTTATTGTTCTTCTACGCTGAGTATGGGCTCATATTGTTCTTCTAGCAGCGGGGGGTGGTTAATATTTTCAGCGCAATTCAAAATATCTTCATACATTTTCACAAAAGAGTATGGAGCGTGACGCCAGTGTCAACCAGCTTTTCACTTCGTTGCGCTGCGACGCCCGCCTGGCGTGTTTGTTCTTCTATCAAAGCGTTGATCTTCACTTGTTTTTTTATTGGTCGGCCGCTTGCTGTCGATTTTCGTATTTTATGCTTCATTGTCATCATCCGTGTTCTCGAATCTAACCCTATCTTTATACCACTTCCCCAGCGTGTCAGTGTCGGCCTAGCCATCCCTGTTTGCAATAATTACTTGGGAATTCTGGATAATTGAAAGCGACTGCTTCCGGACATTTGGGCACTGTATACAAAAAGTCGTATTCCATCAAATTTGGATTTATGCTTCCGATTTTACGTATCCATTACTCATGTGTGATTGGCTCGCTAGCGGTTTCGGATATTAATTAAAAATAACCGATTGCGTTTGGAAAAATAACGCCGATCATAGATAACGGTTTGTCGGCAGCTCGACGCGTAAATTGGTTTGTCGACTTTATGCGTCAGCGAACTTTGATTTTGGTTCTCGATGATTTGTTGTTTCAAATTACTTTTGTCGCTTATCGTAATTATTTTTTACCTCCATGTGCACGAAATAAGGTTCTGAATCAAAAAATTAGTCCTGGAAATTTGAACTAGATATCGACAAATATATCACTAGTTATGAATTTTCATATATTAAAAAAAAATAACTTCCGAACGACCGTAGCGACAACATGGAAACGTCCCCATGCAGAAAACTTCGGTTTCGCGCACAACTTTCGGCAGGGACCTGCTATATAAAAGTTTTCTTTGGAAAACGGCGCTTTGGTGACTCTTCTTAACTCTGCGCGTAGCCATCGGGGATACGGGCATTCGAATACAATGGATGAACAAGTGCAAGTTGCCCGGGAGTGCACGGAGATATATCGTTTTCATTAAACTTGCTTCAAGTGGGGGTTTCGCCGAAGAATATGCTCAGAGTTTTGTATCGCGCGGGGTTTACTACTGCTAACTGGGCAACTGAAAGTGCAGCATTAATTTCTTTTAGAAATGGGGACATTGCAGTCGATTAAGAAAAGTTGCGCGCAGACTTTATCTAATTGCAAATCAAGGCACACAGTCAAAATTATAATTAATTGTGTGTTATTAGCAGTGATGTGAATGTTATTCTGCTACAGGGCAAACATTGACAGCTAAATTATTCTTCGCAAATCAAAGAATCAACAATATTATTTGGAGATATTTTTTACTCCGTTGTTTTTTGTGTCAGCATAAAATTTATAACGTATTGTTGCATATTTTATGTAGTTAAAATTTTAATACTACCTAGTAGTTTTTCTGTGTTTGGGGTGGTTTTATCGTGGTGGTGGTTGCGTTAGTCCGATAGCGTGCGTGCGGTGGAGTGGTTGGGGTTGGACCGATGTTGGGGTTAAAACAATGGCATTTCCAAATTGCGATTGCCCATTCTGATAGGGCACGTTTTCCGTAAGTTCTTTGTACGCCGCACCGCTTTGTACGAACCTCGCTCGCATGCCGTGCGCTTAGAACGAAATAGAACTCGCGGTGGTCGCAACCGCCGAAGTAATAATATATACTTACGGACACACAGCCGCGAAATGCTAACGCGAACAACTCGCAGCTTTTTGCAGAAATTTTAATTTATTATTTACTACGTTCAAGTGGATGACCGATTATACTTTAAGATATATTAGACAAGATTTTTTTTTGGTTTGAGAGGAGCTGTTGTAGCTTTATTTCACTTGAATTTTGGTTTCAAGAAGGAATCCTCCGGAATTTTCGAGTCGCTGAACAATTACATGGGGTGCAGGAAGCGATGGTTGACTTTGCACTTGAAATAAATTAATTAACGAATCAAAGTCAAAGCGTTTCGAATGCTCGCCGCATTGAAACGTAGTGATACTGGGATTCAGTGGGCGGTGATAACATCAGAAAGGTTTGATTGTTGCTCGCACTCAGTTCGCATGTACATTCTACAGTGTTGGTTTACAAATTCAATATAATTCAAGTAAATAAGAATTTGCTAACCTTTTATTCATTATAAATATTGTTGCAGGTTCGGACTCTCTTTGTCAGTGGTTTGCCGATGGACGCAAAACCCCGCGAACTGTACTTGTTATTCAGAGCATATGAGGTAAGTTAATCTTGAAAATTGAATTTTTCTTTGGTTGTTACATTCATTCTATGTAATTGATTTCCCAGGGTTACGAAGGTTCTCTCTTGAAAGTTACCAGCAAAAATGGCAAAACTGCTTCGGTAAGTCCTTCAAATGCAGGATTGTTATAACATTTATGACTTTATATTAAAATTCTAGCCGGTGGGCTTTGTAACATTCAACACACGGGCAGGAGCTGAAGCAGCGAAGCAGGATTTGCAGGTGCGTACAATCGATATTAATCGCCAACTTTTTTCAACTTAATTTAATCGATAGGAGCATATACGACGATAAGTTTATGCGCGGTGATATGCTATAGATCCCCCTTTATAAATAGCACCGGCACCAAACTAACACAGCACGTGTGCTGCCTACATCCTCCCTATGATATCAATTAGGCCTGATTGTACTTGGTTGTGCTTTCAAGTTTGGCTCATATGCTACCAGGTTAACAACAAATTCGAACTCTCTTAACATTTTTGGACAACATATGCACACAACTGCTAATGATTTTTGAAGATGGTATTAGTTGCTGTAGTTTTTGAATTTTTATCAACATCTTCTTCTATCTTGATTGAGTCCAACAAAAAAAAAACAATCACACCAAATCACTTTTGTGGGCAATTTTGCAGCAGGGCGTACGGTTTGACCCCGACATGCCACAGACCATCCGGCTGGAGTTTGCTAAAAGTAACACCAAGGTTAGCAAGCCCAAACAGCAAGCCGCTAACGCCGCCAACACGCACCCAACTTTGATGCACCCCCTCACCGGACGTAAGTACACACCGAATCTCTCTTTCTCTTTCTTCAACTATGCGCGTTCCCACTCCTACGCTGTTAATCGTCACATCCAAATACTGACCTCTATGGAGTACCTACCTAGTGCCTCAGTACTTAGTCTTTTCGTGTACATATCATCTTTTGACTTAGCTCAAGCTGAAAGCAACTGAACACACTCGATCGCCAGCGCGGCGTGAGATGAATGTCAGCAAGTGTCACAGCCACACATCACACAAACACCTAACCCCCACCCGGGTTGTATTCACCACCTCCACTCCCTCACGACGGAAAGCTTGCCAAACCTCCCATAAACAAATATTAATACCTCGTAGCTACTAGATTAGTTTAGATTGGACTTGTTTGATGATTAAGTACTGATGGCCCTGAGTCGTGGGCTAACTCATCTGCATGGGCCTATAAAGAATTTGATAGGGACAAATGATGTTTTTGTACGTTTATGTATATCTTAACTTTCATACAGATGTTGTGTACTTTCTTTGTTGTGTTCAATGCTGGGGGACGGTTGGTGATATTGAGCAATTGTGGCTATTATAGATCTGGGTGCACCCTTCTTCCCAGGAGGTCCAGAGTTGTGGCATCATCCGCTGGCGTACTCAGCCGCCGCCGCCGCGGAGCTGCCGGGTGCTCTCCAGCATGCAACGCTGGTGCATCCGGCGCTCCATCCACAGGTTCCGGTTCGTTCCTATCTTTGACTATCTTCAGCAACAGACAAAACTTTGGACTCGCAGCTGCAGCAGGCCAACGCTCAAGTCCACCACCATGTACGTATATCGTTAGTGAGTTAGTGCGACACATAAATAATCGAAAATATTGTTGATGCCAGCAATCGCTATCCCTGCCGCATCCGACCGCACTGACGTCGGTCCATGCCGCGGCGGCCGCCTCTCTGCCTCACTTTTTGCCCAGTCCAGCGCTCGCCTCACCTGTAGGATCGTCATCATCGCAGCCGAGCGGTATTGGCACCGCTATGACTAATCCGCCCTGTTCGACGCTCTTCGTCGCCAATCTGGGTCAGTTTGTCTCCGAACATGAACTCAAGGAGATCTTTAGCAGGTAGGCCCTATGATGACTTGCGAGTGATACCGATTTGTTTGCAATCACGATTTACTCCATGATTTGCATGAGGTTTGCACTTTCTCACCAAATATTACAACCACCCTACCGAATGATGGTAAGACTAGTTGTGCGCGTTCGTGTCTCTCGAGTAGCAACCAGTAGTGGCTCACTCACTGAATGCGCATCACCCTACACACACGATATGGTTGTTCTTGTTGCACAGCTTCCCCGGCTTCTGCCGCCTCCGCATGCACGCCAAGGGTGGGTCGCCTGTCACCTTCGTGGAGTACCAGGACGTTCTCTGCGCGGCACACGCGATGACTTCGTTGCAGGGCTCGTTCCTTCTTTCGTCCGATCGCGGCCCCATCCGCGTCGAGTTCGCCAAGAGCAAAATGGCGGCGGAGGTCTGTTGTAATACACACTCTCACTCACAGTCTTCACCAATTTCACCAATTTGTTTGAATTAGTTTCTCCACTGTTGCCCACCGAGTATGACACTGCTTTTTTGTTTCTCGATTTCGTTCTCTTCATTTGGTTCAAGCAGACGAAGACGTGTGTGTATTTCATTGACAACCCTTCGAATTTACGTTTTGCGTTTTTCGTTCTTTTCAGCAGCTATGATTATATGAAGTCGCACTAACGCTGAGACGTGACGTTTTTAGGGAACAAAAGGAGAGGAAAATGGACAATCTTAATTCTTATCTGCCCCTCAGTACCTGACAACGAACTACTAAAGTGGTGCCGATCTACTGCTAAGACACCGGCGGTGGCAGAGAAATGCCTTTCACCAGGGGTGATCCAATGCGGAACGGGGGATGTTTTGATCTGTTGTTTCACAGCGAGTCCGTGATATACTTCAATTCACACACAAACAAAAATACAAAACGCATTGTTGTTGTAACCTGCAGGTAATTTATTCATATCAATCGAAGGGCGTCGCATCTAGCGCGCCTCGATGCAAAACAAAATAAGGTAACAAAAATAAGCAAGGAAATTTTTGCATTTTGCATATAGCGTACGCGAAAACGTTTTAAGTATAAAACAAGAGGATAATTTTACACAATCTATATACACATTACATACTTATATACTAAAACAAATATTTAATAATTGCTTGCTGCGTGTACGGTGAGCCACAGTGTATTATATATTGAGCATATGGAAAAGAAAGAAAACACATTTAAACTCAAATTACCAAGATTGATAAAAGCTAAAACCAAAGGTGCCCTATATAAGTATATTGATTATTACCTAATTAATTAATTGATAAAATTATGGAATGAAATTTAAGCAAATGAGATGAGAATCAGTTAAGTTTTAGAAAGTATTCATTATCACAAGTATTATCTATTTAATCAGTTAAGTGTGTAGTCCTGCCGACGGCCGACGGCCGACGGCGATCGTTTGTTAATAATTTTTAAATGTATTCATTTAGTTTGAAAACTTGGAAAATTCAATTATATACCTCTACGATTAAAAGAACACTAAAGCAATAAGGATTGAAGTAAATACGAAGATAACACCTATAACGATGCAAACCGAAACTTACACACAAATCATGAACAAGCATTAAATAAAACAAAAACAGAGTAAAACTAAAGTAAAACAATATTAATTATACGTCATGTTTGGTATGTATTCATCTGGAAAACGTTGTTTCCTTGTAGTATCGCTAAAGTAATCTATTTATATAAATGTGTATGGCGCCGCGTTTGGCGAATCGAAATCGTAGAAAACTAATCGCATCCCAAAACGCAAGGAGCGCCGGGATGGCAGAGCTATACTAAAGAAAATTAATTATTATAAAATAGAGTAAACTGAAACATATCAATCAATCTGTGTTACGCTATACCAAATATGCCTGAAGTTTGGAGATGCGGAAGGAAGCTTCTGTTTCACATTTCAAAAATCGAAATATGTTATATTGGCATCGGCTCTCTCAAGTCTGTATTGACGACGCGTGTTATATAATGGCTGATACGAAACATAACGAATAATATAACTCTGGTTATGCGCTCGCCGAAACAATTACCGCAAACCACCAACATTAGCGTTGCAAGGAAAACAGTTTTATCAATTAGGTATGCGGCGGAGCCCGAATTCTATTTAACAACAAAGTATTTATCTCTATTAAATTATACACGATTTACACGTACTAAATATTTAAAATAGAAAAATGTATTTAGATAGGCGTCGGACGAAAGGAAAACAAACTATACCAAGTTAATTCAAAACCAAAACTAACCAAGGTGAAGTCTTATAAGATGATAAAATAGAAATTGAACATAGCATATATATTTAATAGTGGTACGCTATTTGATAATTTAATGAGGTAGGTGTAACAACCGATTTTCAATAGTAGATTTAGAGTAATTGGGATTAATAGTTTGCGTTTTTATTGAGGCAACTTACGACGAAGGATTGATTCAAAGTATAACGACATTTGCCGTCCCGATTATTCATTTTAGCTTTAATGGCCCGAACCTTCATTTCCGTCTGCTTTGCTTCATTTGATTTCATTTAACGTGCATCGTAAGATGAACAGACAATCTAAGAAAATCTAGAAACCATGCTTCAATTTGATCAACGGGTACATTACTAAACGCGCTGATACAAACATAAAACTGATTGTGAATAGGAAGAAACAGGATAGTGTCACAGAGTATAATTTTTATATGATTAATGCAGACCAAAGTTTTTTTTATTTAATTTTTATCAGTTTTGTTTGATCTAATCTATACAATAATTGTAGAGTGATAACAACTTAACTGGTTTGATGCACTGATATGTCAGTATCTTTCGATTGCGATTATTGTAGTTTTGTGGTACGAGTACATCACATTTGTTTCGTTTTTATTATTTGTGTATTTATAACCTAATATACTAATTTTTTGTCATATAGTAATTGTTTGAAGCTACTTTAGGAAATTAAAGTGGAGCGAATTTAGGTAATTTTGAATGGTAAGATCTAGCGCTTTTTGTGTGAAGTTCTTGTGATATGATTTGTTTACTGACTTTAATGTAATACAAGTAGTTGTTTGATGAGAAAATTGATGAAATCACGAAAACACAAAAAAGTACTGTAGTGGTCTGATGAAATGACAAAGTAGATATGTAGTAGAAATGTGATGCGCGGATAAAAAAAACTATACAGGCGTCGATGTGAATAATGTTCATCTGCGCATTTATAGATCGAAAATGAGGAAAAAAACATAATGAAGTAATCTAATGTATAAATATCTATGGTATGTTTTACTTGTAAGATTAAATGAAGAGTCGTAGTTATATTAGACATTTAGGCAGTTTATCCGCGGTGTCTCGAGCCGCGTTTGTTTCCGTCCATGGTGCGCCTCGCGGGGCGCACTCGATTGCTAACGAGCTCAACACAAAACGAGCGCATCGTCTTTAAACGAAATTATTACACTTAGCAAAACAAGAGAGTGAACTTAGCGCGAACACATTTGAAACTACAAAATTGTAAAAAAAAACCTACGACAAGTCAAACATAAAACACATTATTGTGTTGCAATGCTTGGAAGCGTTTTTTAAATTATGTGAATTTTAAGCATATTAACTTAAAAATTCAAAATTGCCATCGAGTGGGACCGATGAAAAGCTAAAATTATCTTCATATGTTGGTTCCTGTGAACGTGCATTCTAAAATTTTTGTCCTGTGAAAATCAAGGTTCGCTAATAACATCCAGTGTGATTTTTTCTGTATCTCTTTCTTTATACATCGCATGCATATCATGATTACAATTACCAAAAAAGTGCATTCACTACAACAATCCGACCTTACTAAAAAAAAAACAACCTGGACAAGTCTGTCGCGTTCGGTTTATATAGGTAGTGGCTTTTGTGCGTTACTATCGAAGGTTAAATTTGATCGCTTTCAACGCCAGTCGAATTTTATTGAGAGAATATGTTGATATTGTCGGCTGAATCGCCTTCGCGCGTTCAAAGAAAGATCCACTAGTGTTCGAAAGATGAGAAAAGGTGAAATTCCTTATAATTCGGCGACAAATTAAACTTGCATACTACGACACAGAAAACTGCAATTTCCAAAACGTCGACTAACTAATATTAGATATATAAGTCAAACACCACTTCTAAACATATCATGATCTGTGCCCCATTTGTCAAATGACGATTTTAAATTACTAACAAGTAAAGTAACGATTAAAATTTAAATGAATATTATAATTAATTGATATCATAAAGTACATAAGATACATAATTGCAAATTTACTACAACTTTCAAATATGATAGAAAAGTTGCATGACATGAAGATGGAAATAAAAATTGCCTGTTTATAGATAGAAAACCAAGGAATAACAATACTAACTAGTAATCAATACAAACTTCTACAACAACAAAACCAACCTTATGAATTTATGTTTATACGATTAATTAAATGAAAAAATGAGAAAATTGCAAAAAAATTAAATAATACATAGTTCTATATGAATAAAATATATATATATATATATATATATACTGGATAATTAACTGTAACAAATGTAAATTTAGGATACATACTTTTAACATAATTATACAATATCTATATACTGCGTGCATACCATTTGATGATTAACAATGAATCCGAAGAAACCTACCGAACCACCATCTCTAAAACTAACCTGAAAATACGATAATGCATATGATCACTTGATTTATAAAACGTTGTGAATGATAACCGCTGGAAGTTAATGTGAATAGCTTCACAGCGAGGGGAGACTCTCGTTTGACCGGAAGGTTCAGTGGCTTTCTGCGCGACGCGAAAAATCATCGCCTTAGTTAAATGTATCTTATGAGATCGGGAAATGTATATTCACAATATTCATATTGTTGTTTATTTCTGTCGTGACTTTAATATAATATTTGAATTTTGCTCGCCCAATCGGCGTGCAGTACAGGTAGTTTGATGATTAATTTGTTGATATTAATGCTTCTAGTCTAGTGCTAGCTTGATTTGAGACAATGTACATGACGGACATGACTTCATTTATAATTTACCGTTTTCTTGCCTCGACGATGAATCGACGTTTTAAAGTTCTTTGTACTTTTCCGATTGATAACAAAATGAATATTGATATTTGATTGTAATAAGCATTCCATACAAATATTATATTACCTGACAACGTACTTAGATATATTAAAAAAAAAACATTGTATAGGGTCCAAATGATGGGAATAAATATGTATAATATTTGTGTTTTGTATTTATTAACTTTACCTAACCACTGAATCCCTTATTGATTAAAATCATAAATCTTAGTAAATTTTATTTATTTAGAGTTAATTACACTCTCCGTTTTAACGCGCCTTTTTTCACATACAATCTTTTTGAATTATAAACAAAGAGGGGAGTTGTCGTTCTCTCTATATTTTTTTTAATCTATGGGTCAAGAACTTTTTTTCGCCATTTTGTTAGCTTGATCTTTTCCCCCTCCTAACTCTCTCGATGGGTGCATACTGTCACGTTTGCCTTGTTTTGCTGAGGGCCCCGCTAGATGTCGCTACAGTTAGCTCCTCGATGAGACCAAAACAACACTTTTCAAGAGTATGTGCAACGCGTTCGCAACAAATTAAATATTACTCCTTTGAAACTCCCCTAAAGTATTCATTTGAATTATTGTTGCGGCTACTGCCAATACTTATCACTTATAGAACCGTATTGCGTCGAGATACGTCAGACATGTCAATTTAGGCATGAACCAGAGAATGTTATATGCACATACTAACCTATGAAAACACCAGCAAGCAACAAAAGTGATTCGTCATACGTCTAGTTCAGATTAAAATAGAATTCAGAATTTAAAAAGTTGTAATGGCAAGTTACTTTGAAGAAATGGGTTGGGAGCCACTACAGGAAGGACAAGCACCAAATCATTTTTTGCACCTAGCAAGACTCATGCAAGATATGAATATGTTTGAAGAACTTGGGATTGATAAGAATCTTCCACCACCAGCATCTGCAGCTGCAATTGCAAGTTTACCTGATGTTACGATACAAAAGTCTAGTAGGATTTGACCATTTTGAACTCATTGTAGCTACAATAACTAATAATGCTTTTTCTGTAAAAGGTGTTCAATGTCCCATTTGTCTTAAGGAGTTTGATACTGGGTTACAAGTGAAGGAAATGCCTTGTAAACACATCTTTCATTCAGAGTGCATCTTGCCATGGTTAAGTAAGACAAATTCATGTCCACTGTGCAGATATGAACTACCTACTGATAATGAAACATATGAACTTTATAAAGCAGAACAGATTAGAGCAAAAGAACGTGAGAAAGATCTTGAAAATTTACATAATTCCATGTTTTCTTAATAAATTATGTATGTAAAATAATGGTCGACCCTAACTACTTGTCATTATGATTAAAAATTAGTTATTATTATTTATAACTCTATATTGTGGGTGATTGGTAACTAGATAAGTGAAGGATAAAGCAGAATAAATCAAATGAAATACTTACTTGAAAATTTAGAAATAAGTGTAATAGGGATAATAAATTCAGATGTACTGACAAAAGTGGTAAAATCCATATATTTCGATACATTTCTGTCCCTCGATTTAACGACACTTCTCTAAAACAAGACTTTTGTCTTGGTTCTTGATTTGTCCGGTTGAGGCGCTTCAATCACCACTTTTAATTCTGGACAACTGAGTGACTAAAACTTTCTAATTTTGCTAATAGAGTAAGTGTAGGTATATTGTATAAAATATCATGAATCTGCGCAAAATACTTGCTAATAACCAAAAAATTCAAATACAGGTAAAAATTGCGATTATTTGCATTTGACCATGTACTGATATATCAGAACACCAAACTTCAAGTTTTAGTTTTGCGTGCTTTCGTAAATTAACCCATCCTCATTTTGATGTCAGAAGATCCTTTTTGTGTCTGTTGTTGTTAACGGATTTCAAATTGACACTATTCTATTAACCGTAAAATGCTACTATTGGTGCCATCTGGGAGTGTTTAAAAACAACCGTCCTTCTTGGTGCCGCATATTGTATATACCATGGTTCTACATACATTTTCTCTATATACCTAGCTAGCTACATGTCTAAACCACAGTAGAACCATAAATGGATACTGTTGACAAAGTTATATATTGTACCTTGCTCTGGCAATTTTAGTTGCTGTTATTTTATTGAAACAAAAGCTCAGTGATGTGGCGATCGATAATCCGTCTGAATGATCATGTAAATATAAACGCGATTTAAGCTGGCATTGAATTTTGTTCTTGCACAGTGGTAGTTAAATAAGTGTCCAGAATATATATGTAGGTTACCTACATCACAACATTACAATATTAACATATGGTAAAATAGATCAACTTTTGCCTGCAAACATGTTCAATGCAATCAAGAGACTAACCAGCAAGAGTGATGCACCTGCACCATCAAGTGCTCCACTGTCTAAGGCCTCCACTCATCAAACAATGTCCACATCACTGCAAAAGAAATTTGCAAGAGGTGTACAATATAACAGTAAGTCTATAACTTATTCTTAACAACTACTCATTATTTGTGTGTTACATACTTGCAGTGAAAATTATAATAAAAGGTGACAGAAATGTTGGTAAGTCTGCATTGTTTCAACGTCTACAGGGAAAGAAGTTTGTTGAAGAATACATACCAACTGATGAAATTCAAGTAACATCAATTCAGTGGAATTATAAGGCCACAGATGATATTGTTAAAGTAGAGGTTTGGGATGTTGTGGATAAAGGCAAGAAGAAAAAACACTTTGAAGGCTTAAAGTTGGAGAATTCTGAGCTACCTGAGGAGGCAGCCTTGGACGCAGAGTTCTTAGATGTGTACAAGGGTACAAATGGGGTTATATTTGTAATGGATATAACTAAATCTTGGTAAGTAAATAGGTATTTGTATTTATATTTATAGTTATATTAAATACAATATTTTTAGGACCTTTGACTATGTCCAAAGAGAAATGAGCAAAGTTCCTCCTCACATTCCTGTTATAATTCTAGCAAATCATTGTGATATGTCTCATCACCGAACTGTTACAACAGATCACATCACATATTATATTGAATCACTTGATGGGTAAATATGCAAAACACATCCAAATATTGTCTATATTAATTTGAATATTTTTTTGGCAGAATTAGAACTGCCCAGGTTCGTTATTCTGAGTCATCAATGCGGAATGGTTTCGGTCTGAAATTGCTTCACAAATTTTTCAATCTACCATTCCTCCAGTTACAGCGTGAGACACTTCTGAGGCAGTTGGAACGTAACGAAGTAGAAACATGTGCGACAATTCAAGAGTTGGACGTGTATGCCGAATCTGACGAAGCCAATTACTCCAACTTCCAGGAGACTCTGAACAAAAAACGACGCGAAATGGCCGATTCGAATGCAAACATTCCACCCGTCTCCAATTTTCCAATGTCAACGTCCAGTCAACAACTGGCAGCGAACAAAATTACAACTGATGTGAAACGCTCGCAAAGTGCGTCGATTATAATTGGCGGGGGCAAACCAATACCTTACGGAAATGCTGCTGGTTCTATGACTGTTCCATTGCGTGTTTCAACCTCGCAAAGCACGAGTAAGTCAAGCAGTCAAAGCTCTGGTTTTGTTTCCAAGTTCGGTCCAAAAGATCGAAGTGTGGATGATGGTCTTCCGGATCTTCGAAGATTAGAAGTTAGTCCGATCACATCTGTCGAGGAGTTCTGTCCTGATGGCGGTCAGTTAGATAGAAGTTTCCTTGACGATGTACAGACTAGTTATCCTAGCGCGTTGAATGATCCCGAAGACTCCGAAAGTGACGGGGATACAGGTAATCCACTAGTGTCAGAATACCAAGATGATTTGGACCTTGAGGAGGTTAAACAAAACTTTCCCAAGAACGGTGGCAGTAGTGAGATGGAAATGGATATGAAGCAGACAATCGACGAGTTTGACTCCACAATCAATTCGGAGATTTCAGAACTTACCTCAGATGCTTTTGATACCTGGATGGGGGTAGACACAAAATGGAGGAGGTCTCCCGAAGGTGGTGAAGATGTTAGCGCAATTAGTCAGACGTTAGATTATAGTGGAAGTACCGTCTATGATGATAGTACTAGTATCACTTCTTCAAATGTGCACATGGAACTGCTCAGCTCGAAACATAGCATTAGTCCGCATCCCAGTCAGACAAATAGTGATGATGAGCAACCTGCTAGTTTAGCTGTTTTTAAAAAGGAACATAAAAAAGACAAGGTAACCAATAAGCATAAAATTTGCATCAAATTTAGTATACACATACTTTAACTTTTACTAGGTCGAAAAAACCCAAAATTAAAAAGCAGAGAGATAAAACAGATAAAGAGAAGGACAAGGATAGGAAGGAGTACAAATGCGATCGTGACAAGCGCAAAAAGAAGAAATCAAATGAGGAATTTCACGGCTCGCGGAAAACACGCGACGAATTGGAGGAATTTCTTAATGGCTCCTCTAGTCCAGTATTGGATGGCGCTTACGAAGCTATTTAAGTATGATATCATTGGATATAATTGCTTGTTAATTCTTGGTAATCTCTAAATTGTTTTGGATAAACTCAGTTATCTCTGCTTGCAACATGACTTACGCACTTATTACGTCCATGCTATATATTAAATATGTGGGTATGCAAGAGTGGATAACTAAAAACATATGTGGCACACAATGGATGCAAGTTCTGAATGTGCTTATTCGATTAAAAGGGGCTTACGTGAAAATCTATTGATCGTTCTTGTTATTTTATATCTCTATGACCTATGATAATATAATATTGTGATACTTATTTTATTACGTTTATTTTCCAGGAAGTGAGATGGAAATGAATTGTTGCTAGAGGGTTGCAATCAGTAATGTTTGAATGCCGATGCAGTGTAGAAATGCAGTTTATATGTAGCAAACTTATTGCTGAATTGGATTCTCTTACTCAGCCTCGGTTGCCCATCAACATCATGTGCAAGTGCACACACCAATTTGAAGAAATATATACCACTTTGTGGACAAACTTACATTTATAAGCAACTGGAAATACTTTACGAATGCAAATTGGGTTTCAGAATTTGACTACCCAACTATTTTCAGTTAGGATTATTGAGGGGAATTTTGGTTAACTTATTGAGGAACATTTTCTGACGAAGTTGTTGGGTAGCTGCTTTCGTAGTAAAGTGCTGACATAGCATATCTAAAATGGAAATAACGCAAAGAATAATAATACGCCCAAAAAAGGGCGCGCCGCCGAAGGGCATTTTAGGCACTCCAAACGTTTTAGAGGACAAAACAAGTATGAATTGTGTAGAGCGCCTCTTAAACTATAAAATGGCGGTAAAAAAACTCAAAGAAAGTTTGCGAAATACAGAGTGTTTTCCACACCATGTTTTCATCAATTTTTTTCGGCCGAAAAACAGGGCCAAACTTTTTGGTTATAATTTCCTGAACTAAAAGGGCTATCCTGGTATCTATGGTAGGCTTTATAAATCGATTCGATAATAAATTATTAATTAAATTAATTGTTAAAGTTGTTTGTAGTTGAAGAAATTCAAACTGATTGTCATTTTGAATCTGGTAACTAAGTTGAGGGCGTCACCGCTTCATTCTCAACACCATCTTTCGTTTGGACGTTTAACACCTCTCGCTCTTCCTTTGTAAAGGGTCGAAAAACGCGGTGGTAAAGCCGCCAGCCGTCGGACCTGCAGTGCCCTTTATATTATTCAAGGTTATATATACAGGATGTTACGGTAGTAAGTTTTAAGTAGGGTCAGTTTTATTGTTATGTGCAAGTCTGCAGGGTAGTATTAAGTACGTGCCGTACACTTAACCGGCCTCTTCTACCTGCTACATGCGACTTGCCCTGTATTCTATATAGTTTCGAAAGTTCAGTCAAAGTGCGGAGAAGTACGGCAATGCTCCGAGTTTTGAACGCGGCCTGCGCATTGCACAAGTCTGAGAAATGTGCTTAGCCCAAAAACGCGACTAAAAGTGCTAAAAAGTGACATTATTTAATTTTTGCCCATTTCATTCAATTCAATTTGATACTTTTTTTCGACGATTTTGAAATGCATATCTCAAACTAAAAGCCAGAGCAACCAACGAATTCGTTAATTATAGAAGACTGGAAAATTCTGTACCAGATAAAAAATTTAAAATATATATATTTCCTACAGTAAAGGGTCGAAAAAGGCGACTAAAAGTGCCAAAAAGTGACATTTTTTAATTTTTGCCCATTCTATTCAATCGCGAATATCTCGTAAACTACCAGAGATAAATAGGCACAAGTCGCAGAGAATATCTCTACGGACTAATATCTATAACATACAGTAGTTAAAGGAAACTGAAAATAAAATTTTACTGCAAGAAAAATTGCCAAGGGGTACAGTTTTCTGATACTCTTTTCGACGACAGAAAATTCATATCTATTAAACTAAAAAGCCAGAGCAAATCCAACGAATCGCTGATTATAGAAGACTGGAAAATTTGGTACCAGATAAAAACAAATATATATATTCTACAGTAGCGTCGAAAAAGGTGACTAAAAGTGCTAAAGTGCTATACTTTTTAATTTTTGCCCATTTCATTCAATCAACCGCGAATATCCTAAACTAACAGAGATAAATAGGTACAACTCGCAGAGAATATCTTCTACGGACTAATATCTATAACATACAGTAGAAGTTAAAGCGGAAATTGAAAACAAATTTTTACTTAAGAAAAATCGCCAAGGGGTGCTTGATACTTTTTTTCGACGATTTTGAAAATTCATATCTCTTAAACTAAAAGCCAGAGCAACCAACGAATTGCTGATTATAGAAGACTGGAAAATCTCTAACGATAAAAAATTCTAAAATATATATATTTCCCTACAGTAAGTACTAAAAAGGCGACTAAAAAGTAAGCAAAAAGTGACATTTTTTAATTTTGGCCCATTCTATCCAATCGCGAAATATCTTGTAAACTAACAGAGATAAATAGGTACAACCGCAGAGAATATCTCTACGGACTAATATCTATAACATACAGAAGTTAAAGCGGAAATCTGGAAAATAAATTTTTTTACCGAGCCCTGACCCCCAAAGGCTTGGTCTCGCTGAGAAGCTGGATACGTCAGGATCAACCGCGGCGTGGATGGAACTGTTCCGCACCTGCTCTCCAGCTACAGATAACATTAACAAAATAAATAAATAAACACTTTTGTATTAATAAATTAAAAACATTTACCTCAGTTTCTTTCCGGCTTTCTGAGGGTAGGAACCCATTCCTTGATGGGTATACACATCAGGCCCTGACCCTTAGGGGTAGCTGGAAAGCAGACTGATTTGGGACCTTCAGGATCGTGCTCGACGGAGACGGATAACATCATCTTCTTCGGCTTCTTTTAACAGTAAAAATAAATAAAATTAAATATTATTGAAACCAAAAATTAATTGTTATTGTTACTCACTTCAACTTCTTATGATGAATGGAAGAATCTTCTTGTTTCGCATTCAAAAACAAAACATAACAACGTGCAACATGACAATCAATTCAGTGACTATTAATTTTCGTGCAGTTAAAAAATGTGTATAAACTGTTGATGCATCTGTAAAGAAATTATTAAATATCTCAGAACTCCCGCACTGTATTAAAACACTCGCGCACTCCCGCACTAACCCTTGCTTAACTAAACGCACAATATAATTCAACACTTGCGCACTATAATACACAATACTTCACTGCACTGCACATTCTGTTGTCATCAGCATTTCAAAATTTCCAATCTCATTTCATTTCTCAATCTGAGATTTATTCATTTACATTTTCAGTTGATGATGAAATTCCTAGTTCCAATATCTGTTATCCTTCTTCTGGGGGTTTGTCTTCTGTTTTCTACGTCCTGAACAGTTGTTAAACAGTGACACTGAAAAATAATGATGCGCACTTATATTTGAACACTACTGCACTCACTTCACTGCACTGCACTGCACTAATATATCTAATATATATGTTATTTATGATAATGTGTATTATTTGTTGGTGATTGTGTTAAAATGTAAGGTAAGATATGCCGAAGCACACCAATACCCAAGAACCCTGACAATGATCATGAACAGGGCAAAAAGTGTAAATGTGTGTGTGTAAGTGTATGTAATTGTTTTCACTCCCGCACTATGAAACAACACTCGCGCACTATAATTCAGCACTCGTGCACTATAAAAAACACACAAACACTATTATTTATCACAGTTGTTGTTGTTATTTATGTTCATTCCAATATCCAAATTGATTTCTTGCTCTTCTCAATTTGCTGTTGATTCTAACTTGATGTTTTAACGTAGTTTCGTTGGAATTCTTGATTCTGTATATGACTGTTAACTGATAGTTGCCTGATTGATTCTACGAAGTTCAGTTGAAATTAAAGTAGATTCCGTTTACCATTTTATTCGTTTTCCAATAATACTGGCTGGTCCATGGTTGCTTTTCCATTTAAATAACTTTTTTTCTTCAATTTTCCCATTCCCATATTTATTTCATACGATTTAAGATCGTCTTCTAGCATTGAAGTTCTTTTGAAAAAAACTAAGAAAACAAACAAAAATATTAAAGCGATTAAAAATTCATTAATTGTGTGCATGTTTATGCCCCTTGCTCTCTATACTTGAAACCTCATCTTCAATTTCTAAGGAAATGATGTCATCATCCAGCTCCTGTAAATAATTATATAAATATTTATTAGTACGTAATCTATTTAACATCAGACTAATAATTCAAATCATGTATAATATTAAAATATTATTTAAAGTCTCTAATTAAGATAATTAATAATATTGGGAGCAGAATGTAATTAATTTTGATTGTAATGACACTCACCTCAGCATCTTGGCGGCTGTTCATTCATCTGGAGGCAGCAGCTCATTCCTTGATGGGTATACACATCGAGCCCTGACCCCCAAAGGCTTGTTCTCGCTGAGAAGCTGGATACGTCAGGATCGACCGCGGCGTGGATGGAACTGCTCCGCATCGGCCTCATCTCCAGCTACATATAATATTAACAAAATAAGTAAATAAATAATTTTGTATTAATAAATTTTTTCTTATAACATTTACCTCAGTTTCTTTCCGGCTTTGCGAGGGTAGGAACCCATTCCTTGATGGGTATACACATCAGGCTCTGACCCTTAGGGGCAGCTGGAAAGCTGGCTGATTTGGAACCTTCAGGATCGACCTCGCCGGGGACGGATAACATCATCTTCTTCGGCTTCTGTTAACAGAAAAAAATAAATAAAATTAAATATTATTGAAACCAAAAATTAATTGTTATTGTTACTCACTTCAACTTCTTATGAAATGTTCCTTATTTAAATAGAATGCGTTATCTCATCTTGGCCCTCAGGATGGAAGAATCTTCTTGTTTCGCATTCAAAAGCAAAACAACAACGTGCAACATGACAATTAATTCAATGACTATTAATTTTCGTGCAGTTAAAAAATGCGTATAAACTGTTGATGCATCTGTAAAGAAATTATTAAATGTCTCAGCACTCCCGCACTATATTGCAACACTTGCGCACTCCCGCACTAACCCACTTGCTTAACTAAACGCACCATACAATTCAACACTCGCGCACTATAATACACAACCCTTCACTGCACTGCACATTCATTTCCAATCTCATTTCATTTCTCATTCTGAGATTTATTCATTTCCATTTTCAGTTGATGATGAAATTCCTAGTGCCAATATATATTATCCTCCTTCTGGGGGTTTGTCTTTTGCTTTCTGCGTCCTGAACAGTTGTTAAACAGTGACACTGAAAAATAATGATACGCGCACTTATATTTGAACACTACTCACTCACTTCACTGCACTGCACTGCACTAATATATATGATATTTATGATAATGTGTATTATTTGTTGGTGATTGTGTTAAAATGTAAGGTAAGATATGCCGAAGCACACCAATACCCAAGAACCCTGACAATGATCATGAACAGGGTAAAAAGTGTAAATGTGTATGTGTGTGTGTGTGAGAATGTATATAATTGTTAACTAAAGCTATTTGAATTTCACTCCCGCACTATGAAACAACACTCGCGCACTACAATACACAGCATTTCATAATTTCTATTCTCATTCCATTTCTCTTTCTGAGATTTATTCATTTCCATTTTCAGTTGATGATGAAATTCCTAGTTTCAATATCTATTATCCTTCTTCTGGGGTTTTGTATATTATATTTGAACACAACTCACTCACTTCACTGCACTGCACTAATCTATATGTTATTTATGATAATGTGTATGTGTTGGTGATTGTGTTAAAATGTAAGGTAAGATGTGCCGAAGCACACCACTACCCAAGAACCCCGTCAATGATCATGAACAAGGCAAAAAGTGTGAGTGTATGTGTATGTATGCAAGTGTAAAACTGATGAAATTCGATTTTCACTCCCGCACTATAATTCAACACTCGCGCACTGCACATTCTGTTGACATCAGCATTTCATAATTTCTATTCTCATTCCATTTCTTCTGAGATTTATTCATTTCCATTTTCAGTTGATGATGAAATTCTAGTTTCAATATCTATTATCCTTCTTCTGGGATTTTGTATATTATATTTGAACACTACTCACTCACTTCACTGCACTGCACTAATATATATGTTATTTATGATAATGTGTATGTGTTGGTGATTGTGTTAAAATGTAAGGTAAGATGTGCCGAAGCACGCCACTACCCAAGAACCCCGTCAATGATCATGAACAAGGCAAAAAGTGTGACTGTATGTGTGTATGTATGCTGAAGTGTAAAAACTGATGAGGAATTCGATTTCACTCCCGCACTATATAATTCAACACTTTCGCGCACTATATTGCAACACTCGCGCGTTAGTAATTATAGACAACACTGCACAGAAGTTGATATATTGAAAATGTGATATGTAATGTGTAGATTCTGATTTGCACCATTTTATTCGTTTCCATTGAAAACTGGCTGAAATTCCATGTTTGCTTTTCAATTTAAATAACTTTTATGCTTCAATTTCCCATTCCATATTCATTTCATTCGATTAAGATTGTCTTCTGGATTCTGAATCTCATTCTAAGATTTGTTGATCAATTTATTTGCTCTGTTGAAGATGTGACCTCCTCGATTACAATAACTCGTCTTCTAGCATAGAAGTTCTTTTGAAAAACTAAGAAAAACAAACAAAAATATTAAAACAATTAAAAATTCATAATCTGTACACATTGTTATGCCTCTTGCCCTCTATACTTGAAACCTCATCTTCATATCTAGGACATGATGTCATCATCCAGCTCCTGTAAATAATTATATACATATTTATGAGTACGTATTTAATAGTATTGCGGGGAGCAGAATATAATTAATTTTGATTGTAATGACACTAACCTCAGCATCTTGGCGGCTGTTCATTCCCCTGGAGACAGCAGCCCATTCCTTCAAATGGGTATACACATCGAGCCCTGATCTCCAAAGGCTTGGTCTCGCTGAGAAGCTGGATACGTCAGGATGGAGTTCGGCGTGGATGGAACTGCTCAAATCGGCCTTTTCTTCAGCTGCAGGTAAGCATTAACCGAAATAAATAAATAAACAATTTTGTTTTAATAAATTGATTCTTATAACATTTACCTCAGTTTCTTTCCAGCTTTTGCGAGGGTGGGAACCATTCCTTGATGGAATTTATACACATCAGGCCTGACCCACAAGGCGGAAGATAGCAGAGCTTTCGAGACTCAGGATCGACCTCGGCGTGGACGGATCACATTTACTTCTTCGGCTTCTTCTTTTAACATTAAAAATATATATGAAAATAAATATTGTGCCACAAAATATTTATTGTAATTGTAACTCCACCTCAACTTCTTTGATATTGCCTTATATCAAAGAACGCCTCATCATCTTAGATACTCGGATAGACTTTTCAGTGATATTTAAAACTGTTGATGTAAAATTATTCATCTTTAAACCTCCACTCACTTTTACTAACACTTGTATAACTTGGCCCGCACAATATACTTCAACATTCGCACACTATTAATAATTCACAACACATCACTTTCTCGAGTTGATATCAAGCATTTTAACCATTTCCATTTTTTATTTCATTTCTCTTTCGAGATGTATCCAATTCCATTTATTTTCAGTCTTCATCACTTCTGTAACCACAAATAGTTGTTGATTATTTTGTACTATACTTCACACTCCGCACTATATAAAACACCTCCTTTTCTTAAAAACACACAAGGCACATTATTTATCACAGTTGCCATTCATATCCAATTCTAATTTTCAATCTGATTCAATTTTTTCCATTTTTTTTTCTCGTTGTATCTAGCTTGAAGTTGATTCTGGTTGTTACAGTTAGTGTTAGGGTCCATTATATCTTCGATTTCTTTGGTGCAGGTCTTCGTTCAGGAATAATTCGGTTAGATTAATCCTTTTCATTTTCGGGCTTTTATCTTATCTTTGGGAAAATTCTCGATCTGCTTGGTTTCTTCGGGTCTTATTATAAATGATGCAATTTGAAGTTGGTACTTTTAAATGCTTTTCCCCAGAAAAATGAAATCTAATTCAATCTTTTGGGTACTTCGGTTTCTATTGATGCTAACCCAATGTTGTATTGTTTTAATTACGGATTTATTTAGGATGATGATGATGTAAAAAAATGTGTAAGTTGTGTTAAAAATGTTAGGAAAAGCTGTGCCGAGGCAGAGCAATACCCTGGCCCAGTCAATGATCATGAACAGGGTAGAAAGTGTAAGTGCATGTACATGTGTGTGTGTGTGTGTGTGTGTGTGTGTGTGTGTGTGTGTGTGTGTGTGTGTGTGTGTGTGTGTGTGTGTGTGTGTGTGTGTGTGAGTATATAACTGTTGACAATTGACTCTAAATGTTTTAATGCAAATTGAAATGAAGTCAGTTGGGGAGTAAAGCAGTTTGTTTACAAATATTAACGAGTACAAATTTCAATTGATACAGACTGGTTCTTGGTTGCAAATCCCATTTTAAAAGAATTTTCGACAAATTTCTCATTTCTACAATTCCACCCATTTAAAATCTTCCTTTCCTTTGGTATATTGCAAGTCCTTTTCCCGTCATATTAGAATCCCGTTTCTTGAATTATCTTCTTTATTCATAGTTGAATAATGATGGATTGACATTTGCAGCAACAAAGCATTCAGCTTTCGAGTTCACTTTAGGCAGTTTTTCCATAAATTTTAACAGACACAAGGGACTAGTAATAAATGATTAATACACTCATATCTAGCAATGAGGATTTCTGGTTCCTGGCTTGCTTCAGATACCTTATCAAACAAACAAGCAAACAAAAGGTTGTGACTAGTAAATTTCAAAGAATAGAACATACCAGAAACGGCATAGAGCATCCCACAATGGCTTAGCATCAGGATCCTGCAACATAAATTAAAATGTGGTTATCAATTCGACAAACGCCCTGAAAACATAGAAGAAGTATGTGATTAGTACGTAAAAGTGCTAAAAGGAAATACATAATTCATTAGTGAGGGATTTTTTGGAACTCATTTCACACACACAAATTAAAATAACAATAACAAATACGAAAAATAATAAACAAATGTCACCTAAAAAGAAATAAATTTGATTAGCACACACACTTATAAATTGCTGTAAGAAAAAGACATTAAGCTATGAGGATAAGGAAGGCCTAAAACCCTACCTAATGACAACCAATAGCTAATTTCCGCGATTATCCTGAAAGCGGAAAAAGATTAGTACACAAATTTCTAAACAATATTCATCATTCACACAGCTAAGAGATGGGATACTTATATATTTTAATAAGACCTGCCTTTGTCCCTACCTAAGTACATGGGAGGATAGCTTAGTGAGCACAAACCGCTTATAATAAAAAGAGCGCACACCTAACCCGCAGAAGCGCGTTTGGCGTTTGTGCTCAAAGTGCAAAATGGTTTTATGAATATAAAACAAAGTGACCAAACTGCCACATCCCAGCGGCAGCAACCGGCTTTTGGTAGACCAAATTTAACACGACATACACAAATGAAATGAGAAATACAATACAGTGCAACACAATCATACAAAGTAATAATACATTCAACAATCAATCCATTCATTCTTAAAATTGTTTACCGTTGCAGATTTGACTCTGCCAAAAATGATCGATACGTGATTTAATTTGTGTTATTTAGTAATTGTTCTGCGTGAACAAGAACGTGTAAGTGTTAATGTTGAGGAATGTAAGGTAATAATAGATATTGCCTAGACACACCAAATACCAGAACCCGTCAATGATCATGAACGGAGACCCAAAAAGTGTAAGTGAGTGTGTGTATGTGTTTAGTGTTTTTGTATGGTGTATTGGCAAGATTATACGTGCGATCGAACAAAACGGAAAATAAACAAAATTCGGATTTGCTACACGAATTAAATTTAAACAAAGTGTTCTCGGTGACACATATGAGTAAGTTGAATGCAAATTGTAAAATAAACTGTTCGCAATATTACTTTAGCTTTGAAAAGTGATTTTGACTTTGAAACGCGATTGAATTTACCGCGATCCGCGATAGGTATAATAAGGTAAACTCACTACTTATAGACATCCGGCGTTTCTAGCAATGCTGGGAGGGATTAGTCGAATGACCAAGTACTGGTTTCACGCCACCCCAGATACAAAGGTGTGACGTACGTACGCCAGCCTTCTGATCGGTGACATCACCCTGCCTGCCTTGAAAATCCCACATTCCTCGAAATGTCGCGGTAGCCAGGTTTGTGCAACATTTCGTAGGAGATCCGGAGGATTGGAAGAGATTGGTTTGGAGGTCGGGCCATTCCTCATCTATCGGGTTATCCTTCTTTCATATGTCCATGCTCCATTCCATTTCCCTCCATCACCTGGTTTCATCTGGTGTGGCATTGCACAACACTCTAAAAACAAAAAATTTTAATTATTAAAAATATTACTATCGAAATATTTATTAGTATTGCATGCAGGTAAATAAAAGTGTAAAGTAAAGAACAGTATAAGACAACTTACCAAAGTCATTGGGTCATCTTTCTAGCCCCTGATGTTGGTGATGGGTTCTTGCGTTCAGTTGATTGTTGCAAAAGATAATAATATTGGCAATCTAATATGACTGTTGTTGTGAACGTAATATCTGCTCATGATGACTGTTGACTGATTCTGTAAATAAAAGTAGATTTTAAAAATAATTTTCATTTTACAAGAAACATTTTTAATAAGTTTTTAACTTTTAGTTACTCTGAGAAAAAAATGTTTTAAAATGGATAAATTACTCACCCTTAAATTGTACAATACGTTGTGCAGGCTTCATTGGTGCAATCTAATTGTAAAAAAACCGTTATGTTCATGGTTATTAACCGTTGAGCATCATATATAGTGGCGTCATGATGTTCCGACCAATCACGAAGCACCACTGTGAACGTTGAAAAGATTTTGCGGCCATCATGGAAACTGACTGCGAAATCGGGTTACAACCAAATACGAAGCCCCACGCTGTAAAACAAAAGCGTTAGCCGGCCATTTTGAATTTTTATGGCGTCGTTTCGGTTTCGACCAATCACAGAACACCACGCCGACGCTTAAAGAAAATTTTTTTCGGATGATTGAAAAAAAAATGTTTTACTCTAATTAATCGAGCCATCTAAGACTTGTTTTGTGTAACTGAGGGAATAATTGATCGATTGATTCGACTAATTCATTAAAAAGCAATCTGAATATATGAAATTAGGAGCTTTTCTATTACCGTTCTTTGTTTCAGCTACTTATGTCATGACTGTACTTTGCTTTAAAATCTATTAAAAAGTATAAATTACTTACTTGAGCGGCAAATTGTTATTTCACGCGTGTTGATTAACTATTTCTAGATATTCTAACTTGAGTTCTTGATTAAAAAGAATAATAATTTAATTTTTGGTAGATGCAACTGCAGGACCGACGCTTCAAACGACCCGCACAGCACGACGACCAAACCGCAAATGGATTATGGCCGAAGCTGCAATTCCTTCTTCCTGTAGACAAAGGGGTGGGGGTAAAAAATGTCAACTTTTGACTCACTATGTAATTAGGGACTTCCGATAATTTAAAATTGGTTGAATGTGACAATAACTTATTTGATGATTTTTTCCACAATTTTCATAATCAGAGATGCAATATTACAGCTACAGTTTAAGTATTAACCCTTACATGTTGTTATTATCGGGAAACATTTATTTCTCAAAAAATTATAACTTACGACTAATCTTATTTTAAATTAAGAGAATCAAGCGCGCTTTTCAACGGTTCAATGGAAGGGTGTGCTTCTAGGTCGTGTCAGATTTTCAATTCCGCCCGAAATCACGACATTTGCAGCAATTAACGTAGTGTAAAAATCTATTCAACCACTTCTCAAACGTTAACTCCGATCTTAAAATCAAGTTCCGCAGGTATTAAATTGTCCCAGAAAGTGTTATGTTCAAAAATGTAATATTATGTTATTAATTTACAGAGACTTCAATCTTGCGCAATCTTCAACAGGTAGTTTCATAGGAAATTTACGGGTTTCCTGTAAAGAAAATTACAATTCCACGACGGCCAATCGTTAGATCGTCTAATAAGCTATCGATATCGATGCTTTTATGGTGCTGACACGTTTTGTGGATGATGTGATCCATGTGGAAACACGCGGTATCTGAACCTCAATTTGCAACATTGTTGTGGGCCTCCACAAGTGAATTGCAACTCAGAACCTGCAAAATCTGGTAAAACTTGTGTGAAAAGCTTAAGGAATAGTTAAACAACAAACTAGTTTTTAAAATATGAATAATTGAGCTTTATTTGCCATGATATAACATAAAAACGTTTAAACCACACTCTATTTGTTGTTATTTGTTTAAAACTATAATTTATCACCGAATTTATGTTTAAATATATAATCTGAACGTGAAATAATGTTTCAGATTGTTTTTACCCAAGATTCTGTTTTCTAAGTCACATTTTTTTGTTGCAGACACAATTTAACACCTGATATCTGCTCTGCTGCTATTGGTGTTAATAACAATGAAAGAAGAGGGAAATTTGCAATTCTAACTGCAGGTGCTTCTTAAACAAGATAAGATACTCCTAGAAACGTCGTGGTTGCATTTATGGCTGACTAAATTTGGTTTTAATTGCAATGGATTGACTGGATTTGGTTCGCATTATGAATAATTCAATGTATTTTTGATGATAACTTTTGATGTGATGAGAATTTCAATATTCTGATTGCTGATTTGGATTCAGCAGGTATAAATACCGGTGAGGACATATGTAAACAAATTTCTAGTTGGTTTCTAATTGGATTTGCTTTAGGTTTGTAAGGGGAGATCGTCCGCCATGTTTCAAGTTGGAACATTGGAACGCCTTTATGTATTCTTACCTATCGGCAAGGCCCCTCCTTTGGAAGTACTTACTGGTACATGCTGTAGTAACAATCGCACATGAACCGTCCGACTTATTCTTATCAATAGAGGGGTTTGGTTCGAGATACCTGGCTGTAGACCAAGGCAGCGGCTAATATCTTTGCCAAACCAAGCTGGGTTTGTTTCTTTGTTGTTTCCTCCTTCTTTTTCTTGTTTAGTTTTGTTTAAAATTACTGTATATTGAAAGAGGTAAATTTTATTTGGAACAATTGTTGAGTTAAATGTTGCAAATTTTTTATTTCTTTGATTAATATTACGCTGTAGGTTCTTTATGTTTTTATTGTTTAATTATATTTTAAATTACTATACACTTACAAATAAATGAAATTAGCTCTAAATGTAAAGTTAAGTTGTATACAATTAATTTTAAAGTATTAAATGTAATAAATTCTTAATTATTATTTTATAAGTCACCACCACTTTGTGCATTCGTGGGCTGCAGCCCTACTCCCACGTTAAAACAGCCCAGAAAAACAAACACTTTGTGCTGTTTAGTTAAAAGCACGTTGCTTAAACCTGGGTCATCCTAATGATTAATGAATTAACATGGGCACAATATGTATCCGATTTACATAGCAGTTTTTCTCTCTTGTGAGTTGCAATATACATTTATAATACTGGCATTTATAATATTACTATAGTCGCATACGTCTTTATCAACAAGAGATCCGCACGAAACTGGCGGCAATACACGGATAGTGCATGCCTCAGCCAAGCAGGTAAGAAGCGACAGTTTATGATAAGAAAGCAAGAGATGCGCAAAGCCGGTGCGTTGATATCACGCGACCTTGAGCGCGAATTGCATTTAGTTCCTGCGATCTAAACTAAACTAAGACGCGGTAACGTGCGGCGTGAGGGGATGGCATCGTCGACACACGAGAATGCGATAAGAAAGTGTAAATTGTGTTCAAAACAAACACAATTCTCGTGTCGAATGCTCGCGCTTGCTGATAAATATAAAAATAAACAATACAATTCTATTTTATGATTTTTACTTAACGCTAGCGACATCTCCCGCAATTTAGATTAGGTGCACAAGAATTTTATTTATTTATAACAAAAACGTTATAAATTATTACAGGAAACAAAGTAAGAAAATGAAAACCGGTTTTTTAAATACCTGCGTAATAAATCTTTGTTACATTATGCTCGGGAAGTATTTAATTATTTACTTAGTCGTTTATTGGCATTGAGACTGCAACAACATAAGATTTAATGAAAATCGCATTCTTGTAAATAATGTATCTAACACTTAAATATATATTAACTTTATCTGTGACATTAATACCATTATTTGATACATGTACAACCGCGCGTAAGTAGACAATAAAAGCAATTAAAATATATTCATATTTGAAATTGATTTAATTATAGCAGCGCGACGCAAAATTGGAGAAATCAGCAAACAAAGTATGTGGATTAATCAGTGAATATCCCAGAAATCTACGAGTATAATACAATGTTTTAGAATGCAGAGAAGTTTATTTACACAGATATATTCCTCCAGAACCTGAAGTGTGGATTATTGGCGGAGGTGGATATGATGCTAAAGCCAAAGAATATCCACACATGGTCAGTATTTATGAATCTTCACGTATTCTATCAAAAGCAAAATATTTTTTTATAGGCTGCTCTGGGTTACGGTGCATGGAACAATTTAAAATGGGCATGTGGAGGTTCTTTAATTAGTGAAAATATTGTATTGACAGCCGCGCATTGTATTAACACCACAATGTAATATGCAAACGCGTAAATTTAGACTTAGAATTAAAATATGAATATTTCAGAGGTCCTTTGACGTATGTCCGCTTGGGTGATCTTAATCTTCAAAGCTACAATGATAACGCTGATCCTCAAGATTTCAACGTAACCCGCACCATAATCCATCCAGATTTTAATCCTCCATCAGCATATAATGACATTGCCTTGGTAGAATTAGATCGTCCATTTGAAAGAACCAGAGAAGGAGACTTTATTGCACCAGCTTGCCTCCAAACAGACCGAAATATTACCAGTGGTAATTGGACCGCTATTGGTTGGGGAGAGACTAGTTTTCGCGGTCCAAACGCAGCTCATTTACAGGTGATGGAGTTAAGTAAAGCAGAGCACAGTGTATGCGATGAAGCGTACTCAAATTCAGGGAAAAGAAGGTTACTGAAAGGAGTTGATGATGATGGTCAGATGTGTGCAGGAGACGGACATATTGATACTTGTCAAGTAAATAATAATCATGGAAAAGTGGTAGATACTAAATTAATTGTTATTAATGTTTTGATTTTTATAGGGTGATTCTGGAGGACCACTACAAGTGAAAAATGCAGAGTATAGAACAGGTTACACAGTAATTGGAATTACTTCTTTTGGAAAACCTTGTATACTGACTAAAAAACCAGGAGTATATACAAGGGTCTCACATTATATTGAATGGATAGAATCTATTGTTTGGCCTGAATCAAACCACAATAATACTATAACAACAACAGCAACATCAATCATTAATTTGGAGTAAATTGTAATAATTAAGCTGGTATTGTAACAAATATTCTTTTTAAATAAAAAAGAAAATTTAATCTATAATATAATCTCTGTCTACAGTAGAAAAGAAGTGACTCTGTTGAAAAGTTTTTAATCCATTTCCTAGTAGCAAATAGCAAAAAACTGGTTTTACTTGTACAGGAATAACAAAGTAATTAAATATGTGAAGATTAGTAGTTAACACTATAGACGTGGTTTAATTGCAGATTGACATTGAATCAGTGCAGTTGTAAACACTCAACTCAAACTAGAGTTATAATAAAAGCGTTAAAAGTTTAAAGAATGTACGCGCATCTGACAAAAATAGTAATTTTGATAGAAATTATAATATTAGCTAATGGTTTACCCAACGGTAAGTTGAAACTTTTGCAAGTATCATGAGATACAAGATACAATTATCATATGATTATAGATGAATGTAATCTCGCAAATTGCACTAGTGTACGAGAAGTTGGCGAAATCAGTAAACAAAGTGAGTATGATTTTAATATACACGTAAATAATTAGTGACATATAACATTTCATTCTTAATCTTTTTTTACAGAATGCAAGGAAGTGTATTTGAATAGAATTAGAATAGTGGATAAAATAATTGGAGGCGGTGGATATGATGCACAAGCTCGAGAATATCCCCACATGGTTTACATCGCGATATTTTTATTTTTAACTAATATAACTCATTTTTTAACTAAATTTATTTTAGGTGGCATTGGGTTATGATCATGATAATGAAGTAAAATGGGGATGTGGTGGATCTTTAATCAGTGATAAATTTGTTTTAACTGCTGCTCATTGTATTGATACTGCAATGTATGTATAAACATATCAATTTTCCAATCTAATCTAATCATTATGTTTTAGTGGTCCTGTTAAATATGTGCGTCTTGGTGCACTGAAACTTGTAAATTTCGACATTGATCTGCATGATTCGAATCCTCAAGACTTCAACATTTCTCAATTTATTATACATCCAGAATACAAACCTCCATCAGCCTATAATGACATTGCTTTGATTGAATTAGACGGTGTTGCAAAATATGGAGAATTTATTGCTCCAGCATGTCTTCAATCGGAAAGAAACATTACTAATCCTCGTTGGACTGCACTTGGTTGGGGTGAGACCAGTTACCAAGGACCTATGGCAGATCACCTACAAGTGATGAAAGTAGATAAAGCAGAGCACACCTTGTGCAATAATTCATATGTAAGTGCAGGGAAAAGAAGACTACTTACAGGAGTCAAAGATGATTCTCAAATGTGTGCAGGAAATGGAAAAATCGATACCTGTCAAGTAAGTACCTTTATTACTTCAAAATTACACTAAAAAGTACACGTGGATATTTTTATACAGGGCGATTCAGGTGGTCCATTACAAATACGAAATGCTGAGTACCAAACCGGTTATACAATAATTGGAATAACTTCCTTTGGAAAACCGTGTATCCTCACGAACAAACCAGGAGTTTACACACGAGTTTCACATTATATCGAGTGGATAGAATCCATTGTTTGGCCGATGTAGTTTTTTGCGGTTTGTTATGAATGATATCCGACATAATGCGTATTAATTACTTAAGCTTCTGTTGCTTTAAAATCTATTATTACTGTAGCAAAGATGAAAGGTCAAGCACAAGCACACAGTAAAGATCAATATAATATTGTAATAAAAATGTTATTCACACAACATATCTGTCTCTCATATTACTTTTTGCGACACATGTTTAAGCATATGTAGACTTCATCCTTCAACGAAGAGTTCATTTATATAAAGTTATTCGCCAGTTGTGCATCTGACATCTATAAATTTCTGTCTGGTAAAAATGTGGATTTTATCAATCGTTATTCTCATCATTACGTGTGTTTCAAACATCTATTGTGCGTCGTATCGCGGTAGCAATCAACTGGAGGCAAAACTTGACGAAATTCAGGCTGATCTGCGTGACATACCGTCAGTTCTATTGATCACGGGGAAAAATAATGAAATTCATCAACTGGTTCAAAATACCGACGCAATCTTAAAAACTATTCATGATCAATTTGTTGAGCTTCAGAAAAGAACTGAAATTTGGTCCACTCATGAACATTTTATAACTTCTTGGTTGGATCAAATCTCCGCCGTAGATAGAAAATTGGATATAATAATAAAGTATACTTTTATTAAACTTATTTAGAACATTAAACTAATCGTTATTTTTAGGGGTCAAGATCGTTTGAATAAAGTCGAAACTAAACTGAATCTTCTACACGAACAAGTCAATAAAATTGATATAGACAAATTCGAGAATTTGATGAATACTGCTGACCACCTTCTCAAAACAAATGATCGCCAAAAAAAGTCCCCAAACAATGAGTTATTCTCCTTTATAGATGAGTATACCACTCGAGGTGTGCTCAGTACATTGAACCGCATTGAAGGTATACTTCTTCAAAAAAGTAAACAACAATTGCCAGAAGATTGCGGCCAAGTAAATCGTACCAGTGAAATCCTGGAAGATATTGCTTCTAAAGTTGATATAATTGTGGACAAGTTGACTGTACCAGAACCAACAGTTGAACAACCTGTAGTTTTTGACCCTAAACCCGAAACAACTACGAGTACAACAGATTCAGTTCTAAAAGTCTCAAGATGCAGTTTGAATCAAATGCAGGACCGATCAGTCACTATTCTAGACCGTCATCCAATTAAATATAATGCCACACATTTGATTGAAGAATACTTAAACAAAAGTTTCGTTGAATATGAACAAGGTTTTGATACGGATACCGCAAACTGGTGGGGCCTTATCAATATGAAAGATGCAAGCGCCGAATGCGATCTAAGACTTCGTGTTGAACTCTGGGACTTCGAAGATAACTTTGCATGGGCTGAATATGATACTTTCAAGATTGCTGATGATGGCCTGTATACGTTAACAGTAGATGGATACAATGGTAACGCAACAGACTCTTTAAGTTCCCTGAGTGGATCACCGTTCAGTACTTACGATAACAACAACGACCAGGCACCAGAATGTTGTCCATGTGCCATTACTTACGGTTCCGGCTGGTGGTTCACTAAGTATGATTTATTTATTTGAAAAGCAGTCCAATTCATTTCCTTTTAATCCAGGTGCTTTGAAGCAAACTTGAATGGTCGATACACCTATGAAGATATCGATTATTATAATGGAATTATTTGGGAAGGATGGCTGGGAAACTACTCACTTAAGCGTGCCAAAATGATTATTACCAGCAAATAATGCGGTGGTGCTTCTTCCTTTAAACGAATAAATTATATATATAGATATATATTAACGCTGCATTTGTATATGTATAATTCGAGTATGAAATAATCAACAACTTCATTGTCTTTGTGTCAACGTAAACAAATGTCTGGGGCAAGCGTGGAATTGAGCGCCACGTGCACTGCCAATCTTCGTAGATTATAACAATAACATTTACAGTGTATGTAACTACTAACAGTTTTTTTTTTGTTTTAATACCAGATATGAATACGTGTTAACAATCGCACCGTGGGTCGCCAAAAAACGGTGCGCTTTACATCAGGTCGTGTAGGAAAAATACAAAAATATAATTCAACCGAAATCGTGTCACAATAATGGAACACCATTATCAAAAATTAGGTCTTTTCTAACACTATCAACAGGTCAGCTACAACTACTATACACAGTGTACTGTACACCGAATGAAAAGTGATATTTCCTCAATGTTTCGAAGCACTAGAAAAAACAAATAAATAAGAAGTGTTTCGAATTGCGAGGGCGCTGCGCAGTAAATAGAATACTTCATCTCGGTCATTGACTAGCTTGGTTTGTTGTGCAGACTGCCGACGTTAACGCCGTGTGTTCGTGAAGTGTGGACGCAACAACGTCTCTACTACCCTGTGTGGTTTCATCGAAGTCAGTTAGGGCACAAGGTGTGCAGTTCTAATACTCGCTCGGTTCTCGTCGCGTTGAGAAATAGAGTTTATGTACAAATAGTTGGTCACATTTATCACAATAACAGATATAATTTTCAAATCGAAAAATGTTGACTTGTGCGCAGTTCAGCAACAAACAGTAACACGCGCGCCGCGTATCCACAAAAGAGTTCGGTAGGCCAAGTAGTAATAAATATCGAAACGTAGGCCACCGGAAAATCGATCCACAGCGCGGCAACAGTTGCCATTTCATATCACTAACGTAAGTTTTGATCGCTACTCTCAGATATTGCAGAATAGTAGTGTCGTAGTCGTAGTACTTCTGCGTGTTACAGCAGCGCATTGCAGTGGCGGACATTTTGGCACAGAATCCTATCACGATTTATGTACTACGGTATCACGAGCCGGGCACAATGTACTACAGTAAAGTCGTCTTGTCTCAGGACACATCACGATGGCGTGTCTTCTTATTGCCGCCGAACGTAAACCACGTGCCGACTTTGCGTCCCAACGAATTCGTGTTCGCTCCGTTCAGCTGCAGGCTCGAACCGAGGAACACATCACGTTTGTAGTTCTCTTTATCTGCAAAATCAATACACAGTTATAAATTCACCTGTACTCTACTGGGAGATAAATCTATAACTTACTTCTAAGTTTGCGTGGTGGTCGGCGTTGACATCGCGCTGCAATTTTCGCGAGATGTCGAGAGGATGCTGGGAAATCCATGCCGTCACATTCGTCCTGGCTGACCAGTCGCCGCTCTTCGGCGAACGCCTGCAACCATCGCTGTTTGTCCAACACGGAGCGACAACACACCAGCAGGAATTTGTCCCGGATTAAGCTGTATATCTTAATTGCGTGGCGCAAATTCACCCCGAGGTGCGGATCTGTGGGAGAAAATCAGTTATTTGCGTTCTAATCACCACCACAATGCTGTATTTATCCATTTACCTTTCCCGTCGGGCATGTCGATCACTTCGGCGGTATTCAGGCATATCCGACCTTTGTACATGTACGTATTCCGCTTGAGAATGTCCTTCTTGCAATAGACTAGCTGGTGATCAAAGAGGAAGAGCATGATGTTAGACGTCCACAATCCAGTCGTCATGCGAACCATTTCGCCCTGATGAATCAACTGCGTGCTCACCTCAATAAGATCCTCGCCCTAAAATGAAACAATAACAATGTAGATCGTTGTTGCTTTCCAACCAAATAAACCAAACGTACCTCCCACCCTTCAACGCGTTGCTGCCACGCTTCGATCTTTTCCAGGCTCTCCATCCGACGCTTCCTTTCGTTGATCAACACAGCGACCCCTTTCATCGCCTCCAACGCCTCTTTGATGTCGTTATAGTCCGCATGGTCCGCCTTGGAATATTTAAGTAATTCGGCCAACTGTAACGGGTATTTACATATTCGCTGCACCGGAGTTAAAAGGTAACCGTCGAGCGGAATTTCAATCAGCCCGCGCATCAGCCGACATGCCTCGAAGAACTTGCTATAGTTATTAAACTGATACAACTCCTGTAGTGTGGCGGTTGCCATCGGATGACTATTACAGTAATCCGAGTACATTTTGAACCCGTCCTTGTGCCTAAGGAAACAGCTCCCCACACAGCTCTTGTGCGGTGCTTCCCAGTCTATACAGCTCTCCAGATCGCGGAGAAACGCAGTCTGAAATTTGAGTATCTCCTCCAAATTGATAAAAATTGTGTCAATTTGTTCTTTAGTGAACATGTCCTCGCGTTTGCGGCACTCGGCCACATAGCCCTCGGCAACATCCTGCAGCACTTTAACAAAATCCCGCTCGGTGTGCACCAATTCGCGCACAACACTAGTCCGCACTTGATCGTTGCTCAGTAATGAGATGCTGGTGCGACGGCGGATTGCATTCGGCGCAGGTTTACCGGATGCGATTGACGCTAGACAATCTTCAACTGTGTCCTCCTGACTTACTCGCAACCGCACTGAGTTAACCGGAAACCACCCGCTTTTACCATCCGCCGAACCCCACCACCAGTCACGATTGTTGGTGTCAATCACTTCCACGACATCCCCGGCACGAAACGCCAACTCCTCGGCATCTATAGCCACGTGATCAAAGACAGCTTCCGCTAGAATAACAACGTCTTCATCCATGGGTAACTCTAGAGACTTTTTACGTTCGCTGAGAGATGCCAAGGAAGACTCGGAGTCGGACATGGTATCCTCGTCGGATGTACCAATGCGCATGTCGTTTTCGTCCTCACTGGCCACACTTATCACCTTCATGCCTGTAGAATATATAACTATACAACTATTCAATGATTTTAATATATATATTACGGTACCTGTTTTGGACTTCATGATGGGAGACAACTTGTCGATGTCGAGCGGCTGGCTCAATGATCGACGCAGCTGTCCGCGACGGTACAGCGGATGATTGCGCATCTGCACATGCGGCGGGCCGTCGGGTGGCTTCTTGCGCGGGCTCTGAGGGCGCGGAGACGAAGACATCGTTCCCCGGCCCGATGCAGACCGGGTTTCCCAACGGTAGATGCGTTGCCCGCCTAGGTCGGAATGTGTGCGCCTCACGTGTTGGTGTCGGTTGGCGCGTGTACGGAGCTCAGCCTGTAAACAACCGCAAGAACAAACAGCTTGTAACACGAGTTCTTCGATAATGGACAAGTTGCAACGAATGAAAGAAGACGACGCGAAGCGAGCGCCGTCTTCGACTGTTTCGCGGAACACGAAACGACAGCTGCGCCCGACATAAAAACCGTAAGGGTGCGATTATGTCGGCGACACCCTTACCAGGCTACCTGCAAACGTTCCGTAGACGGCACGAGCTCACGCACACGTCCGGCCCCTTCAACTTCCTGACACACACGCACTCCCCACACTCAACTCAACTAAGTAGTAACGTAATCAGTAATCAGCACACGCATAAAAATACAATGTGACGAACGCTATTACTCATGAAACAATTATACACAAATTCATCAAACATTTCTACGAATGGTACGTACACATGTTAAACACTCCGAAATGTGGCTATCAAAACGATTAGAAGCGTACTGCCATATTTCAACGGCTTCCCAAATCGCTAAATGTGCGCGTAGAACATTGATAAAACACTCCAGAAATAGCATGAGTCTCGGGTCGCGCGCGCAGCCGCCCGGTGAGCACAATTAAACTGATATTAGGCCGTAAATGCCAGCCAGCGAGAAATATAGGGATTAGCCCAATTCGCCCGCTTCTGCTTCTACCACTTTCACCTCCGCAAGCACGCCACGAAATGAACCGGCAAAAGTCTAATTCGGCGTAAAATCCTTTCCCAAATTACCTGCACAAGATAATAATCCGATGAGCTGATATTTTCGGTGCGTCCCAACATGCAAAAACATCTTACCGCGACACGAACGTCAGCCGCTTAGGTCCCCGCCGTTAACTAAAGGTTAATTAACGAATCACGAATCACGAATACACAAGTCTCGGGCGCGCGCGCCGCGTACGACGCTATTAAGCGGTTTTCATACAACTACAAGTTGCGAACGGTGGGACTTACTGCGAGTTTCGCTTTGCTTCTTAATTCGTGCGTGATTCATAACTTATACCGCTCGTCATTAAACAGTAGCTTCTAATCAAATCCACTACTGCCGAGTTGCTTTGTGTATTACGTGTGTTTTTTTGTCTGGTTGTGTTACGCTGCGCCGGCTGCACGCTGTTGTGTTCACAGTGATAACCGAATCAATAACACCACGGAGCAATGCGAAGAGAGCGCTCTTTCCACGCGCACTGCACACCCACACTGAGCGCGCGACGGAGAGGTTTTGATAACGCGAGAGCCAACGCGCCGCGCCGGTTCGAATGTAGTGCACGTGCGCGCCGTCTCCTTTCAGCCAGAGGCAAGAAAATTGCATCGCCATAAGTGCCATTGGGCACATGAGTACTGCAAGGACTACTACAAACAACCAGCCAGAAAAGAAACAAAGCTTCCTTACTACAGAAAACAAGATGTTACGTGATACTACGTAAACTACAGAGACGGATTAACAGATGTATCTAAGTAAACTACAAGTAAACAACAGTGTGTAAGATTCTGATCCACCTCTGTAAATATGTGGCTTGGAATGAATACAAATGTGAAAATTATTCTTAAGCAAAGTACGAGTAGCATCTATCGATCCAAAGCATTCTCCAAGCCTGTAGATTGTGAATGCAACTGGTCGCATGCGTGCGGAATGCTAATGATTCGTGTAAATACATACCTTAAACCGATCAATGAGGATCTGATTGAGCAGATCCGAGTGGGGTCGAGGGGTACAACGCGCATGGCCCCCGCGTCGACGGACAGCCGGCGGACTGTCGAGATCGTCGCCCTGGGGGTCTGTTTCACCGTGTGACTCCGAGCTATTGTCGCCTCCGATGCCGCCGCATCCCGGGGCCATCTGAAATGTCATCGCAATGTTAAATTTAAACACCAACCATTGATACAAATTCGCACACCAGCAACAAATTTCGAATTTTGATCAAATTTTAATCAAATTTTTGATCAGCATACCTGTGCTTCGGTAAAGAATTTTTAATTTAAAATTCCATACTCCACTCACGCAATAATGTACATATTCCAAAATCGGTTACAAAAATATTAGACAAAATCAGTTAAGCTTACGCACAACATCAAAGAGTAAAACCACAAATTTATATAATAGTCGAACACATTTGAAGAACACACCTGAAGAAGTCTGTTTCTAAAGAGACTACGTGAGCATAATGATAGAATGATTGTATACAGTTTGGTGTTGTTGTGGTTCGAGTGTACATGATGCAAAAACAGGGAAGAGATGAGAATTAAAACCGTGATGTTGATATACTCGAGGGCAGGGATATGTATTTACATGACCAATCAAAACAAAAATCATGATGGCAATCACAAAACCAACGCCACTACGCAAACCGCAGGGTGATAGAACAACAAGATGATGTATCAAAACGTGATATCGTTCAAATATACGCAATAATATTTATATAAATATATATAGATATACTTAGATATACTTAAAATGTTTATAGCATGACAAGTATCTTACCAAGCTATTCTAGCCGCAGTCTAGTAAAAATTGATGAAAATTAGTCAGTCATTAAATCACGGAATTCATTGGTTCAAATATGCAAGATCGTCGTTTAGAGGGTTACGTTAAATTCGAATGGAATTTGCTTCAAAATGGAAAGTGCGCGTCTCACAAATACGCAAATGGACGTCGTACGTGTGCACTTGTTCAAAGATGTAAGCAAAAAAGGGATCAATGTGTGAGAGTATCCAAAAGTCAAGAAGAAATGAGAGGCAACATCAGGAGAGAGGATGAGATTCATTGTGGTACAAATAAACTCACCTCAATCTGGATGCCGCTATCGCCACTGTTGCACTTCATACTACGAGTCGCCTTGTTCATCTTCTTGCGTTCTTTACTCGAGCGCCAAATTAAAGGACCGAACCTACTGGCGAATCAATAAGTTACACGTTCAGATAATTCCAATATTGATTCTGCAGTGGGTCAATGTTTACCTGTGTTTTTGTTCGACGGGCTCAAAGACATTGGCGTCGATGGTGCTGGCGGGCTGCTGGGCGCGTTGTGGTGAGGTCTCTTCCTCGGAAGGGTGGTCGCCGGGCTCGGCGAAGCTATCACCAAAGTCCGCCGACCCCCCGCCGCCATCCTTGCTGCCCCTGCTGCTGCTTTTCTGGAAACGCAGCGAGAAGGTTTTGCGAAATTTTTGCAATACACTTTCGGCATTACCTAGAACATTCAGGACATAATCGGCGTCAAAACAGCTTCTAACTATAAAGCGGGTTTACAAGTGCTATTGTTATAATGTTGTTTTACTTAAGCGTACTACACTATAACATCACACAGGTCACACACAACACTAATAGCTTAAAACTATCTATGCAAAAACGAAAGAAAATCAAGTGAGTGATACTTTTGCAAAAGCAGCCCCGGTTCTCGAACACCTCGCACGAATTGTAGATCTCGAAATTGAAGCCATACATGTTTTCACATTTCACATGAGACCATAGACGTAAAATGTCTGAGAGGTTGTGTTAACGTTAACGCGAACAACAACTGAATAAACTTGAGATTGAAAAGAGTCAGGCGCGTGTGTTTTGAAGACAGAGTGGCCTTTAGAACAAGAACAACAAACAATAACTGCTCGAGGGTATTTAACTAAAGTAACTTTAAAAGTGTTAGTCCTGCACTGTTGTGCAGTTTGGTGAGATTTGTTGTTTATGCAGCAATACACGCTTCGGTCGGGAACAGCGCAACATTCAGCTGTAATTCCCGGGCTTAATCTTTGCTGATTCGTGCATTTAATGCTTCAATGCCACGCGACTCTTATGCTATTGCATTTCTCTAACAAATCGTAAGCAATTATTATTTACGTTTAAATTTTAAAACGCACCGCTTTTGCTCTTTGTTCTATATTCTGATTAGTTCCGAGCTCGTGCTCGTAATTATTCGACAACTCACCGGAAAATTGTTTGCGGTTTTCCTTCGCCTGCGTCTGGCCGGTGTTGTTCGCGTTCTTGTGCTTCCTGCAAGACGATTCAAATAAATGCAACTAAAATTTGATCTATCGCAAGATGTTATCGATTTCCATCAATAAAATCTCATTATAAATCAAGAGCAGCGAATTGCCAGCCAAAAAAAAAACTAGCTGCAGAAAACCGAATGAAAAATCCTACCTTCCATCGCGTTCCTTTGCGTCAATCAGCTGCGGGGTCGAATTCGCTTTGGTGCGACGTCCATCACCAGAAGGCGAACGTCTTCGATTGCCGTCGTGTAGGGGCTGTAAGTAAATTCGCACATCACTCACTGACATCATATTGCGCACAAGTTGAAATTGTTTTTATAATTTACAGCGTGCTTACGCAATGAATCAATGTCACCGCAGTGTTTGCGCGCACGTGGCGTTAATTAAACGTTATCTATGCCAAATGTGTTTGCACCCGCGCAGCACACCCTTCAAGAGAAAGGGTTGTTGGGATGCATTCATGATATCAATTATTAGCGCTTTGATTAATAAACCGTTTACACACAATTATCAATTATTCGCTGAAATTGAGCACGTGGGAGCGGAGCATTACGTTTTGTTTCCGAGGTATCGCGGATTGTTTGTCTAATTTCGCGCTCGGCGCGTTTCTCTGATTGCATTCCACGTGATATATGATATCACGTTGTGGCTTGTAAGCAAAATGCTTTTTAATTAAAGCGACATTTCCAACACACACTTCACAAAATGGCAAATCCCTACTAATATTATAAATGCGAAAGTCCTGATGTTTGTTACACTTTCGCGCAAAAACTACTTAACAGGTCATCATGAAAATTTGTTCACATATTCTTAGTGGTCCCCGAATGGTTACAGGCTACTTTTTTATTTAATAAAAAAATTATTTTTTAAATAAAATAAAAAAATTGTTTAGCCAATAATACCTCTGCATCTGGCTATTTGACTACTTTAACGCCATCTAGCATTCCAGCAATGAAGCTCAAACCTAAGTACTATAGTACCATCACACTGTATTACCGACAGCTACGTCAACATCAAATCCAATTGACTACACTATGGAGACTGTACATATACTTCACTACTACATATACTTCCATACACTTCATTATTTTAGATATTCGCGAGCGAAGTCGCGGGTTAAAGCTAGTATTAAATATTTCTTTGATAAGTAGAAAATAACAGATAAAATTGAATACATACAGCGTAATAAATAATCATCTGTCAATGAGTCGTATTGGTATTTGTTTCAACGTAAACGATTTATGACTTTACTGATAATATATACGCATTGTGATATTAAATCCTTTGATGCACAGCACACACAAAACACAACACCAAATTGATATCGATTGTTGATCGATGTTTGCTGTTTACCCACGCAAAGTTCACACTTGACTGGCCAAAATGCAGCGCAAACATGGCCGCCAGCTTTGTTTCGCCGCAATTCACGATTTCGAATTATAAAAGCCTTTGCAGGGAACACCAACGAGCGTAAGCGCCTTTCAATACAAGCTTTTATATGTATTTAGGTAAGTGGATTCGAATTCGAACGTGATCGGCAATTGTAATGGCGGATTTTTTTGTTTAAATAGTTTATTGACCGCTCAATGAATTGAATACACAAAACTTCCGTCTGATATGTTAAACAAATATCATGCTATCATAACCTAATTTAACCGCTAGCGAAATGAGGTTAGGTTTATTCTAATTCGTAATCTGCACGTGATATGCAACTGCATAGTCTTGTCAAGAAAACGCATCAGCATCACCAACTGCATCACCAACTGCCAAATCATAAATCCACACACAGAGTTAACCGACGCCCTGCACCAGAACGTGCAGCGAAGCATCCAGAAAGCAATAGATTCTCTGAATGCAACATCTGCACTTGACAAATACAACGTGATTATTGTAATATGTCTCTCGGCGGTGGCAGCGACACAATGAAACAAGGAGAATACGTGAATATCTAAAAATCGCTTTAGTTGCTTGAACAATTCAATACTGGAATTGCCTATAAATTCAATTAGATACAAATCCACAATGTGCGTGCATAATGTATTTCCACAGCCAGTAGGTATTGTGTTTAATGAATATCTAATGCATCAAAATTTGAATAGAAATTCTGAATTTGCTGCAATTGTAGTCACGCCAATAATGTACGTTTGGTTGCCTACATCAACTATAAAACTATATCAATATCAACATCATTCAGTATGAAACTAAATTTAAAATTCAGTTCGCGCTGTGTTTACGTTTATAATAGAAAATTTATCGCTCAAAATGCCTCCGAAATACTTCATGTAATAATATTTATTACTTCACTATGCATGAACACATAGATGTGAAAAATCGCTGCTATTCTTTAGTACTTACCGTGACGGGCGCTGTTTGCGAAGTTTCGATCGGCGTACGTCGTCGAAAACCCGGCGAGGAACCGAGACTCTCCGTGCCGCGACGCCTCCACGGAAACTGACCTCTGGAACACACAAAAAAGCACAACATGAGCAAAAGGGGTCAACCAGGGCAGGAGACTAGGTGAGTCGCTATTAATGCAAGGGTTACTCCAGAAATAATACGTCTAAACCCCAAACCGCCAACATGACCATGACGAAAATGGGTAAAATGATGGTCGGCTCTAATCTTCAATAATAACAAACGACAATCGAATAACCCAGTAGACTAAACGTCCAGTTTTATATCCTTCAAGCATTTTCACAAATATATTTGAAATGAAATTGAATTTTCCTACATTAGGGGGCGGCTGGTAATTCTCCGGGCAGCCATTCGCATTGACAAATTGATCCCCGTAGATTTCAGTTGGCGTACGTGAGGCTAAATACGAGCGGCAGCACTTAGTGCTTAGAGAATTGTGCACGCTTTGTAATTAAACTAAATCAATACCTGGCAGTCTAAATAACAAAAAATATTTTACTGTAAATACATGCAATTTATTGCATTAAGTCAAATTGTCTGTTGAATCTCTAAATGAGACATATGAGAAGGATTATGGCGATTGGTATTAGACGTAGGTAAGCCTAATCGCATTGTGAGCTTTTGGTAATTATTGATAACGTAAGCGAGACATTGGTGTTCTCATCCACTAATTCGCCATATATCCCTATTTAGGATATAATATAATATGCAGAATTGTGTGGCCTGTGACGATCAGTATTCGAAAATATTGTTAAACGTAATGCAATAATCGTCATTTGGCGAAAATTCAATGAAAAACGGAAACACACAGGAAAAGAAGGAAGCGATGCCCTAAAGCCGACCGGTTTATTCAAATCAAATTACACGCTAATCCGATTTGTATCAGGAAGGTATCACACGCAAACGCAAAGTGGAAAACTGCGTACAACAAGCGTTTTAAAAATTGAAATGAATGCTAATTGAGTATTATACAAGCACTGGCACATTCTGCATCGTTAAACAACCGTGCGCAGAACTCATTTTACAGCGTTTTAAATTAAAAGTGCCTCATTTGTTCCTGGATAACTTGATATTGTTTATTGCGTCGTATATTAATTTAATTTGCCCCAGCGCCATCTACACCATTAACATAACCTATATTCATATGAAAATTAACCTAAAATCGATTTATAAAAGTATTATAGGACATTTGTTATTAACCTGCACTTTTTCGGTATTTAAAATTAGGTTAAGTTATGCAGAGGTACTATTTATAACGACAGTCAAAGTGCACTCACTCGAGAACGCTCGTAAAAGAAGACATACAGTCGACACATGGCACCATGACACTCCGCTTTAATCATCTCTTTGATCTTGCTACCTATTTATGCATTCACAATCATGCAAATGATGTAAATAAAAATACCAAAAGCATGTGTAAAAGTTATAACTCAAAAATCGCCGATAAACACGACGAAAAAGACAATAATTCGTCTCTGATCTGGTGTTGATAAATATGTCAACGGACTAAGTAAAGCAATAAAACGCTCTCACACATCTAGATACTTTCTTTTCACGCGCGTCGCCCGTAAGAAAATGCCACTTTTAGGATCACGAGTTTGATGTTTTTTTTTCTGCGTTGTTTTCGAGTAACGCAATACATTTGATGTAATAAAACGCTTGAGAAAATTCCTGCGAGGCACGAGACGCGAGTAGAAACAGGAAGGACGCGGCATATTGAAACCGAATATTGCTGAAAAGCTATGCGAACTTAGCGAAATCGCTCACGGACTCACAAACATGACATGAACGCGAAGAAAAAAACATCGGGCTAATTTCATAAATATTCGCGACAATTTACGTATACATAAAATTTACATTTGAAATTAAAGTAATGCTTAAATTTTAAAAAATAGAAAAATATAGAAAATATTATTTTATCTAAAATACACTTGTAAAGGTAGATTCAGCAAAACATAAATTAAAAAAAATTAAAATGAACGGAGAAAAATTATTTTCATAAAAATATTTTGATGTGATGCAGAAAATGCGAAGAATGCGCGAAATTTAAATATTTTTGATTGTTGTTCATGACAATGGTAATGAAATCCACAAAAAAATCACTTATTTTATAAAATACAGAATATGAAAAAGAAACTATTGCATTTCACCGTTACAAGCGACATTATCGAATACCTGGTATTCGTACAAATTGCAATAAGCCGTTTTACGTTTTTCTTCAGCTTTAAACGATGCAAAATAAAACAAGCCTCAATGGAAAGTTGATTGTAGTTTGTAACGTTACGGAATGTACAAAGGGTATTGTTCGTCAGCCATATCGGTAGATAATTGGCCGTGCCGAAAGCGCACTGGTGCATCACCAGCCGATAAATAAAAAAAAAAACAACAAAATCGCGATAATGATTTATCAACCACGCGCAGTGAAATTTATTCGCTTGGCACGCAATCTAACAATGCATTCAATTTGTTATGAAAATATGTATTTGATTGCCTGACAACGTGAGGTACAACACTCAAAGTTAAACGTTTGCTTTGTACAGATGCTGATTGTACTCTCAAACTACAAACAGCAAGCAAACAGTAATGTCACATATCACTTGCGTTACTAGATTTATTTATAGTTTGTTCTCCGACAGGAAAACTTTCGTTTTGCATCTGTATGCACACATTTGTTATTCTTTCTTTCTTTGAAGTGTCATTTTCAGCCGGTTTCCCACTTGTTCAAACAAAAGGAACAGCAGTTTGGTTGCGATTGCAAATAGGCACGGTGCGTTTTTATTTTAATGGGTTCTATGCGATGCTGTATTCAAAGGAAATTTCATTGGAGATTGGTATATGTACATGGAAGACACAAAAAGCAAAATATCGGTTTTTTTTTTATAAAAAAATTTATTTTTCAGAATAACCGAGAGCAGAAAAATCGTAGTACATAAAATCATCAACTGTGATTTATGTCTTATGCAGATCTTACATTTTAAACAACTTGCAGTATTGCAGAATGTGCAAAAATATGAAAATACCGTTTATAACCGTTCCATGCATCGTCAACAGCTGACGGCAGATGTGCAATGACTATTGACTCAAGAAAATTGCACCTTTCACTTAAATAAACAAAATATTAAAAAGTCTACATACACTAATTTCAATGCATATTTCAATTCTTATTGAATGTGTATTGGGTTGCCTATATTCTATAGCTTATTTCTAACGCTATTGAAATGAAACGTACCGAAATTTGTGACTTTTACTTTGACGATTCAATGTACTTTACGAATGCAGCCATTCACATTCAGATGCTCGCTCACATCTGCCGCATTGTGACGCCATCAGATATTTGTGCGAGCAGATAAGAGGAAAACGGTGGCACCGACGCGACAAAAACTATTCTTGCTCAACGCGCATTATTCATTCATCGAACGCCAGCATATCTCACAGTCGCACTTCCTATGAATACCTGTTATACCAGATCAACAAGAATAATGGAAGAAAAGAATGTGCCGCACACTAAACCCAGCAGATGCGTACTTTAAGTGAATTTATTTTTAGACCAAACTCTACATTTTGTGAGTGTTGTTTGAAATTTAGCAACGACAGAGTTTGAAAATGATTAAACTCGTTAAACACTTAATTTATGCGAGAGGTGCGTGCGAATTGCGAATTTTGAGTTTTCAATTAAACGCCTTAGACGTTTTCTTAGGGGGTGAAACGTCGTAGTTACGCAAATTTACTTCCAATTCGAAATAGAAAGTAAACATCATCAACACTAATTGCAAGTTAGTTTAAACTTTGCAAGTTTATACCAAATAAGCTAATTATCAAGTTAAAATTACGCCGTTATTTTGAAGAAAAACAATTTAAACTGCAAAGTAACTGTTAGTAACAAATAGCAAAATAAAAACCTGTCGACTTTCATCGATGGGTGGGTGGGTCGTGGAAATTTATTTTATTCGCTGCGGTGTGCTATTATAATCGTACGTCAATTTTAATGCGTCCATTAATTTTACGAGCCCGCCCCGAAAACCTCTTCGTCGACAACTCCGCGCTCTCTGCAATTACGCCCGGCGACTTTTACGATCATTCGATGCGAATTCATTTCTCATTCGGCGCTGTTTAGAAACGCATGCATTGGAGGCTGAAATTTGCGAATGGCGCAGAAAATGTCGTGTGCTCGTCGTCATAAAGCGTGCTCGTTACGTATTATAAGCTGTCATAAAGCGACCAGGTGGATGTCGCATTAAGCCCACAGACGAAGATATTTCTAATACAAATAAGTGTTAATAATCTACATAATGCGTATGTGGAATATAATCATTTATCTCCTAGAAAGTCATTACATTAGAAATTGTCATTGTAAGGCGTAAACTCCACCCCGTGACTAAAACCCGTGACTAAAGTATTTAATCACTTTTTATGTTTAAAAACCGTATTTACCTATAATTTATTAAACATTGCATGCGTTCTACCCAAAATATTCCACTGTACATCAATAAACAATTAAAACACTCCTCCCCATTAATTATAATTCATATTTCGCATCAATAATACCTCAAATATTATTAATACACACACACATGTTAAGCATACCGTCATTGGACCACATGAAACAGCAAGCAAAACCGAAGCGAACCGAACACTTTTACCCGCACGCTAAATTTCGATTAATTAAGCGCCGTAATTAGTTTTTGCATACATTTATGGACGGGCGCGAGCGCTCGCACATTTATTACCATTTTCGTATCGAATACTAGCGCGCACGCGGCCGGCCGCAATTAATCTCGCTTGTGAAATCGATGTTACTGCTTGCAATGTATGCGCAAAGTCGTGAGCACGTTTTGTACAACCACGCGTGCCATCGTAAACAAGCACCAGGCAGACGCAAGCATTATTATTACGTTCGCACGCACTATTTGTTTACCGGTTGGAATTTCAAACTGGCCGACCGCATGACGTTTTAATAAGCAGTCATGTGTGAGCGGAGTAAAATGTGTGTGCATAATATTTGCCTAGGATTTCGCTATGTGAAGAAATGTTTAGTGTCTCAAAGTTTTAATTTTTCGAAAATTTTACGCCAATATCGAGTGAAATTGATATTGAATGCAGAAAATAAGCTAGTGTGGTGTAAAGTATTTGTTGATTGCGCTTTTGTCTCATTTTAACCCTAAATGTACATCCCGCAAGCGAGTTTATCCACAAAATTTAATTTTTGATTCAAAATTTGCTTTTTAAACAACTGAACTTGAATGTGAATAATCTGTTATTTCTACCACTAATATCCCTACTAATATTATAAATGCGAAAGTCCTGATGTTTGTAACACTTTCACGCAAAAACTACTTAACCGATCATCATGAAAATTTGTACACATATTCTTAGTGGTCCCCAAATGGTTATAGGGTACTTTTTATTTAATAAAAAAAATTATTTTTGAAATAAAATAAAGAAATTGTTTAGCCAATAATACCTCTGCATCTGGCTATTTGACTACTTTAACGCCATCTAGCATTCCAGCAATGAAGCTCAAACCTAAGTACTATAGTACCATCACACTGTATTATCACACTGTATTACCGACAGCTACGTCAACATCAAATCCAATTGACTACACTATGGAGACTGTACACTATACTTCCATAGACTATAGTTTCAGCCATTTAAATTTCCCGCCATTCTACTTCATTGTTACTTCTTCTGGGACTACAGACGCGTACGGAAGCAACTTCATTATTTTAGATATTCGCGAGCGAAGCCGCGGGTTAAAGCTTGTTTCAATATATTTTCAGTTCATTTGATCTTTTATATATTAATTTCACTAAATTTAATCTACACTGGCTTTAAATTATCCTAAGCCTTCAATTTGCTCAATATTATCCACTTTTGTAGTTGCTGCATTAGTGAAAATCATAGCTTGCACTTTGAAGTAAAAAGATAATACGGAAATGGAAAACTACCGACAACAAACGAAGCTACACAATGTGCATAATCAGAACAAGCCACCCTGGCTATCTTCAAATCAACATTACGCAATTGGCTCCCTTCAACTTTGCTGTAGTGCAAACGAGTAAAGGAGCAATTTGCACATTGAATCATTGAATGCGTTTTTGTTAGCGTCTGCTTGTCGGGCTTCTCTCCGTTTGAACAGTTTGAATGCAGCATAACGGGAAGCACAGTATGCACATCAAACATGCCGCGCACAAACTCATTTCGTATTCATTTATTTCGGTGCAAGTTGCACCGTCTTATTTGTACAAGTAATTGCTATTCATTATTGTTGGCGGCATGCTAAAACAACGACTTTGCGAAACACTTTTCAAGAAAAAGAAAAAATTCACTGCGCGTTTTCTTGTGCTTCGGTCAAGCGTAGCGTAAATTACCAACATAAGCACACAAAAGAAGATTGATGAACAGCAATCGAAGAAACACAAACGACAAACATTCGAACGGCTGAGATGGTTCCAGCGATTAGAGATTAATTAGGACCAAAAGTTCCCGCTACATCTCATAATGCCAGGCCACTAGACTTGGTTTGATTAATTATGATCCAATTATAGAGTTGATGACTTAATGATATCATCAAACAGCTCGGGCTATTTCGATTAAAAACCGCTGCGGATGCTTTTATTTTAACTTCCTAGCGTCGATCTAATCTGAGACGAGAGAAAAAAAGTAATAAAGTTATTAACTTTATATCACACACCAGGTTAAAGTAAAATATCTAGGTGAATTATTTCGATACATCATATTTTACACAATTTCGCATAAAACGAAAACGTGCGGCGTCGAGTAAAAATTTTTACCATCGCTAAAATGCCAGTACGTGAAAACAACATTTTTACACAGCGGATCAATAAACAACGTAAATGTGTCATGAAGACGTGCGAGACGTGCCACACAGGAACGATATAATTTATCAGTAACAAGTCAACTTGGAAATGCATCAAACAAAAAACCGTCGCGAAAGAAAACCAAGAAAACAGGTAATAAAAAAAATGTTTAAAAACTTTTCGCCCCACTGCGGAAGAAAATCAATAACAAGCGGTCATTTCCAATCGCGAAACGCACCATTTGCGTCAAAACAAAAAGCTCTTCATTGGCAATAGTTCATTATTATAATTAAACAGCTGTCAACAAAGCGTAATTGGAAATAACAGAAATAATAGACTATATTGTATTTTTAATCACAACGTGGAATCCATATTGGCAATTTCAACTGAATGCTCTGCATTTCGGCCTTTTGAATTACATATTATTGAAATTTATGTAACAAAATGTTTTTAATGCTTTAATTAAAACCAAACTTTAATCTATATCGGCACATCGTAAGTGTATTTTTCGAAATGTAAAATATTCGCGCTTGAAATTTTTTACATTATTTAGCAAGTTGATAATACAATATTTGTGAGGTAAATTAATGGTTATGAATGTTTCGCGACCATTTGCAACATTTTTTCATTTAAAAATAAAATAATATAATTTTTTTTCAACCAGAATTATGGTAGGTAAATTATTTTAATAACGCATATGTACGTAACCTCCGGATAAAAAATAAACGCTGTGGGACTTTTTAACATTTAAACATTCCGGCGTATTCAGCTCGAAAATAAATAAACTTTTCCGTTTATCATTCAACAAATCTCGCGCACATGTCGTGTCAACAGGAGTTTATCTCTGGCGCAGACACTGTCCGCGCTTTGCTCTCCATTCTTCGCTTGCCGGCAGTCTTTACACTTTACACTCTTTACAGCCTTGGTAGGTATATATTTTTATGATGCCCGGGGTAATAATGTGCGGCGTAATATAAATTTGTTGCCTCGCGTAACTTTTTTCCAACGCAACTCTTCCTAAGCACCTGGGCAGCTTCGAAAGCTTCATGCATCATATATACACGCTCGGTGTCGAGTTAATACCTTGCATTAAATTGTGTAAGTTTCAACATGAAGCTGCAAGTGAAAGAAAGAGTAAATGAATTTTTGTGTTAAACTCTTGCCTTTGTACTTTGTAGCATTTTATAGAACATTTGCTTTGTGATACTGGGCCGTAAAAAAAGTGACTTCCGAGAAGAGCGGATAATTATTGTTTCGGAGGCTGTGTGAACGTGACTGCTGTCACAGGGATGGGCCCAGGCCAAGAAGTTTATAATGCAGCTTGAAATTGGGCGAAATCTACCTGGGACCAGCTGAACAACAGGTTGGGCACAGCGGGAAAGATTAAAAAAAAAATCAACAACATGGACAGCTGTTAATTTTCAAAGAAAAACGACTAAAAAAAATTCTAGAATTTTAAATCGCATTGGTGGCTTGTGGTTATGAACTTGGCCTGATTTAGATGATTGTACCAATCAATTGTAGTTCATCTCGAGATTACTGATATCAATCCATCTAATTTCGCATCAGTTGAGTTTCAAATGTCAACTAACATATCTATTAATAGATGATCAAACTTCACATCACAGCCTTGCAGCCCCTAACGATCGATCCTAACCTGTCACAATAGAACAATGCGAAAGCATCAATCTAACTAATCATAGTCATTATTCCATGTAAATCTAATGCTTTAAAGCTTTACTATCATGATTTAAATATATTTAAGTCTAAATTCCAGGAAAAAACGTCGTAATTTTGAATTTCGATTTAGCGTTATCAGTAAACCCGCAAATCTAGGGTGGAATTTCTGGTTTTAGGCATTACCCAGGGTATATACAAATTGTGACCGCAATCGAATTGCCAAAATGCGACTGAAACAGCGGGGACAACAAACGAATTGCTTGCCCAGCGGGCGCAATTTCCGTGAGGTCATCCCCCATCTAGTAAATCGGTCGTTATTGGTCTACTATGGCTTTTAATTACGTGCAACAGACAATAAACATTGTCTGCCTGAATCACCCAACGTAGACAATTGAAGCATTTTTCCAAAGTGAGTTTGCGTTGAGTATCGTGCAACTCTTGCGCCTGACATTAATGCGTTTTATTTATAGCCGTTCATTTGCATTTTCGTTTGTTGCTTTCGTTGCATTAGCTGCATGTTAACTTAATCTTCTCTCGAGCTTTCTTCGTGGAACGCGCACGTTTACATTCATTATATTGTCCCCGCAATCCACAAATTTCCTGTCTCGTGCATATGCTAACGTAATTTACAGCCAAGTAAACAAAACACACAAAAAGGTAATTTTTGAAGCACAAAACACAAAACGAAAAGTTGCTTACATTGTAGCCCTACGTGACGGTTTCGGTTTCTTGTGTTCAGCAATGATATTGCGCGTCATCGTCATCGTGGTGCAGATTGTCTTCGTGGTGGACGCGAGGCAATCCACAGACGCGCAGCGAATGCCATTCTTCACGCTATCGTTCCGCAACGAATACATTTTAATCCGAAAACATACCAGGCACTTTTTTCAACCAAATTTTCAATGACCAGCTGATTCCATTTGCTTGAGATGAGATTCACAACGTGCACATTAAAATTTCCAGACCGCAGCGCATGCACTTGATTCACGTAGAAAAAAATTAATATTACATCATCACCGATGTAATGATAGGTGAATACACTGCACGCTCGTGCAGCTCAGATGTAGATTGAACTTTTTCCTCTTGATGCTCGTTTTCTTGCACTAAATTACACCGCGGAACATTCCCACTGGGCGCAACTAAGCACTATTATTCTTGCGCACTACTCGGATTACTTGACTCAGCCGGTTGCCGCAACGAACCGAGCCGCGAACACGCCGAAGAAGAACTGAGCCAGGCGGCTCAAGCACATGCCGGCTGTAGCCTCGCATTGAATTACGTTTGGTGGTGCTATGTTTAGAGATGGCAGGCTTAGCGGTGCGTGGTGGAAAGGTTTCCGTGCACAGATTGCACCTTTACTGCACCAGCTGACCGAAAACGATTTAATTTTATTTTTCTGTGCGGTTTTTATGGAAATTTCGATGGCCTCGTTAGGAACGACGATTCGCCAACCACCAGGTAAAATCGAAAACTGCGCAAATTCAGCACAGGCAGCAGTTGGAAATTTTCGTTTACTGAAACCCTAGCAACCGTGACACCTGCCCAATTAGAACAGATTGCAAACTGGTGTAACACGTCAATCCATGAGCCCTTCCACTGACCTGCACTGCTAACTTGCTTTGCACTCATTAATATGGATGTGTTTACTTTTCAGCTTTCAAAGCTGCTGGTAGATGTGTAGATCTGTTTGGGTCATGAACTGGCCATGAACCAAATTAAATATTCCGGTTGACAATATTGACAAAATAATCCCTGGGCCTGTGGCTTTAGAATAAATTGCATTTGCTGCGCAGCAGTCAGGTGACTGTCACACAGCTCGCAGATTACGAGCAAACAAACCTGATAATTCTGCAAATTTTTCATAGAAACCCAGAAGACGTTCGGGGAAAGTAGACCAAACCTCCTCCATTATTTAATTGTCTGGCAGTCTATGCCTCTTCTATGGAGCTTTCCACTTTAGATTCCTCCCTCGTATTTTCTCCTTTTTCGTTTTCAAATATTGATATAAGCAGCTTCCTGCAGAGGCACAGCGATGCATGTGCTTCTGGAGCGGAACTTACCAAGTTCTCCTCTTCACTTCGCTCTTTCAACATCATGTTTGTGAATGGGAATGTGAATATAAGTGAACATAAAATCCCAATCTCTGGGGCGTTTTATAATTGCCTCGAACAGATGTTCGCGAAGGGAATGGGGATGTGAATGTATACACATATACAGCAAACAGTAAGGAGCAAAGAAAGAGACCAGAGGAAGCGCACAAGACGTACGACTCTTTTGGATATAAAACGGGGGAAAATGTTTATGTGCACAGTGCACGAGAATTCGATCAGGGAAATGTGGAACTCGAAGCTAACATAAAATGATCGCCGAATAGATTTGAATAGATTTGGGTTGTTTACGCTCTAAATGCACCACAAAATGATCGAGAATTATTTAACAAGCTATAAACTAGATAGTTTCGTGAGGCACTCTGATTAAAGGCGACTTTTATCGGGTTTTGGATGACATTTTACACCAGGAAATGCGAAATTTATTTGGGTGACCACATCATCATAATAGGAATATTTCCTCGGTCTTAGTAACAACTTCATAATTTATGCGGTTGCGTCCATTTGTTACAGTTATACGAACACAACACTATATCAATGATAATAGGCCATAAGCTATGTCTCGACCATCAGCTGATGGGCCTAGTTTCACGTGCGGAACTGAATTGATCCGGTTTAGCAAGGCGGTCTTTTGAATATGATTTATGGATGGCAATTTGGGTGTGAGAGAGCTGTGAATGTTATTAAAATTTAAAGACCGATCGCTGTCTCGACGCAGTCCGACGCGGAAATTGTGTTCGTCATGCGGCATTCAGACCGCATTTGCATGGCGTCGGTTCCGAAGTGTGAATTCCACCTCAAAGTTGTGACAACGCTGCGGTGCTCGGCGATTGGCAATTTTCGAATATTTATTGCGTGTTTGCGACGCGGCATCAATATTTATACAGGTTTTGATACCTCTTCAAAATATGGGACTTTTTCATCAGACAAAAATAGAATTTTCTAGAGAAATTTAATGCGGTAATGTTTGTTTTGTTTGCTTGGCTGGCTCATCCGGATTCCGGAATGGAATCACATGCAGCGATGCGCTCCAACTATCGACGGAAATCGCTGATGGAAAAAAAATATCGACCGGACAAAAAGCGATCGAGGGCTCGCGGCGGATGGAAAAAAGCGAAACTATAAAATGCAGAAATGCACAGCACAACCACCACAGGGCAAGCCAATTTATTCCGGAAGACTAAAAACTATAAAACAAAACAAACGCGCTGCATCAAAATACCGTATCATTAAAAACACTTCAATTATTGTGCACAATTTGTTGCAGGAAATCTAGAAATAAAAAAATGCACGCTGTGTGGTCTTATAATTTTACTCTTCCACGTAAACAATTTGAGCTATATATTGTGAAATGTTACAAAGTGCAAGAATATGATACGCTAGCGTTCATTACACCCAACAAAGGTGCAATTAATTTCTAGTTACACATACAAACTGTGTCGTAGTGCAAGTGTGTTTAGTTTGTTAGCCTGCGGACACGTTCACCTTCAGTCGGCCGCAATTAATTCAATTAGACAATTAGAGAACAGAGATCTCTACAAGCATACCAGCGAGGTGAAGATGAAGAGAAACTACCAGCTGTAACTAAGGAGCCTTAATGAATGATGTTGATTTACTTAATTGCCGCTTGAATACCGACTACACATGGCAAATATAAGCACAGATAAGAAGTGACAATGTTTGCTTGTTGGATGTGAAACTTTTTTTGAATATCTATTTAATTTCCGAGCGACTGAAATGTGTATAACGCTCGACTGAAACGCAAATAGAAGCCAGACGAATACGAATGAATGAGTGCGTGATTAAAACGGCTTCGATTTCATTCACTCATTTCATAATCGCCAGCTAGTCGTGACCATCGCTCGCGCAGCTTGGCACGAACTGAATGACTGACGCATTAATTTCGCGAGCCGTGTAAAAATAAAACGGAAAACGCCAACACAACGCACACAACTACTCTGAATGCCTGCGCTCAGCCACAACAGGAAAATTGGCAGAAATAGAACGCGACGAGTATAAATAATCCGCTAATTAAATGTTCGTACGTAAATAAACACCGGGAGCATCAAGATATCCCTACTAATATTATAAATGCGAAAGTCCTGATGTTTGTTACACTTTCACGCAAAAACTACTTAACCGATCATCATGAATATTTGTACACATATTCTTAGTGGTCCCCGAATGGTTATAGGCTACTTTTTATTTAATAAAAAAAAATGATTTTTGAAATAAAATAAAGAAATAGTTTAGCCAATAATACCTCTGCATCTGGCTATTTTACTACTTTAACGCCGTCTAGCATTCCAGCAATGAAGCTCAAACCTAAATACTATAGTACCATCACACTGTATTATCACACTGTATTACCGACAGCTACGTCAACATCAAATCCAATTGACTACACTATGGAGACTGTACACTATACTTCCATAGACTATACTTTCAGCCATTTTAAACTTCCCGCCATTCTACTTAATTGTTACTTCTTCTGTGACTACAGACGCGTACGGATGCAACTTCATTATTTTAGATATTCGCGAGCGAAGCCGCGGGTTAAAGCTAGTACTTTTATAAATTAAGCAAAGAAAATTTAAATAAATTTTACATCAGTGTGTTTATTTCATATACTGAGAAATGAGTTCATTTTCTGTAGAACTGAGACCGAAAGTAAACACAAACAAAATGTGAAAAGTCAAAGTAGAAATGAACTCTGTGTACCAACATGCGAAGTGTGTGGCTGTTCTATGCAGAATGCTGGAGGGATGTGTAGTACTCGTATTTTGCTCTTCAAAGCAGCCGGTGTGGCAGGTGCTCGCCATTTGTCAGTTC